ACATTTGGTTTACCATTCATCTTGCAAGGAGTGCCTGGTTATTTGAAGCTTCGATATTTCAATAAAGCTTGCTTAATTCTATTTTTGAGAAGCAAGTTTTTTTTTAGATTTGTCTGTACATATTATACATATTAGAGACATCATACAGACGCGCGCGCTACGCACATTGATTCAACCCTGAACTGTCACCAAACTGCATAATATTTGACAGCAGTTCAAGTCAAAAAGAACTACTCGCGGAAAAGAGGAAGAAGAACGAAATATTGACGAGAGAGGAAATGCGTTTTGGCGCTTCACAGCGCGCGTTAAAGACATTTTATTTGTCACAACTCAATCTAACACCGAACGTGTAACATCTAATCGATAGCATCTGGAAATCGATAAATTTGAAAATATTCGTCCTTTCTGATCGATATACCTACAGTTTTATTTTTTTTTTCGGATCGCGCGATTGAAACACGCGGCAAATATAATAGGCCAGTGTCTTGTCCTGTCCCTCGCACTCATAACATCTATTTCCAGAACGGACCGACAGCTTTTCTAAGTTTAGAATGGCTGTTCCATATACTTGAACCGTGTTCGCCTACTCTCGGGTCCGCGGTTCTCAGGAGAAAATGCGATAAAGAAACGAACAAATGCGTCATGACAATCGTGTACACGTAAAGAAAGAGAAATTGTTTTCTCTGTTGATCTTTTGCGAAAACAAATTCTTTGACAATCGACATTAGAAGGCAATTTAATTTTCATTTCAAGGTTTAATTAATATCGTTGGTAATTTATAAATTATAGTTACTCATGATTTATCGCGTCAATTAAAATAAAACTATAAGCCAGCTAATTTTTTTACGATCAAATATATTTAAAAAAAAATTTCTTTCTCACGGATTACATCAGCAATTTTGCAAAAATGGAAGTATCATGTGTACGAATTACTGAATAGCAAGAAAATTGAAAACAATTCTATGCAGGATGTGCGAAAAAGATGAAAAACTGTTTGAAGCGCAAAACTTGTTTTCTTCGAGAGACATGATAATCTTGCGATATTAACGGATGCGATTTATCGGAACTTTAAACGAGCCGAACGTAAACAAGCGTGAAAATAGGGTCACGCTCTGCTTGTATTTGTCACGCGTGTGTTATTTGGTTCAAGTGGGATGCGCGTTGCATCAACGTTGCCGTATGATTTGCAAAAAAATTCGCTTCAGCGTCGTCGTTGTTTTTTTGTGATCTTGATGCGAGTGTGTCTTTTATTGTTGTGTAAATTTCACAATGCATTTGCGAAAGAAGAAGAACACTTGCATTTATCAAGATTTTCTCTCTGACATTTTTGTTTTCTATCTCGACTCTCTTCTCGCGATCGTTCTTATAGTTTCGCTTCTGTGAAAGCGCGCGATTTACGTCGTCTGATCGAATTGCTTATTTCTCTTTAGCAAACTCTTCTCGATCGTAAGCCAGTTCGCGGTAACATCGAAAAACCGTTATTAATACTTTCCCAATGAGACGAAGCGAATTCTAAAATTGGTGTATCTTTTTTTCCAAGAAAGTCTAACAAATTGTCAAATGTAACTTTAAATATTGTCATTTGAAGAAAAAACTTGCATTAGAAATTTAAAGAATCGACAATTTGGTGTTTTTGTTTTTAATTTCTCTTCTAAATAAAGAATCGATAATTTGGTTTTTGTTTTTAATTTCTCTTCTGAAAACACTTGGATACTTGATACGGCCATATTGAATTACGACATCAGAAGCAAGAAATCATAGAAATAAATTATATAAATCGTCATACAGAGTTTTATTGAAATATAATGTTGAAACACATTCTAGAGAAAAATACTTAATTACGAAACCTTGCAAAAGAGAATTAAATACATAATCAAATATGTTAATCTCCCGGTATTAATATAAATATACACACTTTATTACGGGAACAATGTTTTTGTGCGCATTTTAAAAATGTTCCAAACTTAATTCATCAAAAGCGTTTGTGTAAGCGTTTTTAAATGAAGTCACATGGTGAGAAAACTCGATTGTGGAAAAGCGCGAGTCGGAGTCGTTGGGTATAGATTCTAATATGTAAAGATAGATTCGCCGGTGAGGGGCGATCGTATATATTTAGAAAAGTGTTCGGCTTGCCAAAGAACTGAGAGAGACTCGCATCTCGACGTGCGAGATTTCTCCGTTGCTAATTTCTCTCTTCTTATTCTACCTCTAACCGCTTTATCTCTTTTACAGCTTCTTCTCTTGAACGAGACACTTAACAAGAACGTCGTTGTTAACTACTTTCCGGATGAGTGCGAAGCGCGCACGCCGTTGGAACAGCGAAGTCACGCGTGCGATTTTAACAAATTAAATATTTCTTACGCACAAATGTCTGTGGGTGTGTATAGATTTTGAGACAAAAAAAAAAAGAATTTTACGAATTTTTCAAAAAATATCTGTACAATTGTAAATTTCACAATGTTTTATTTAAGTTTGATTTTTTATTTAAGTTTTTACTTAAGCTTTTTTTTATTTAATTTTTTATTTAAGTTTTTATTTAAGTTTTTTTTAAATAGTTCAAATATATAGTTTAAAAAGTGTTCTATTTATTTTCATCGGAATTTTTCTTTTTCTGTATGTTCTTTTTCTCTCTCTCTCTCTTTGGACAAATTTAGCGACATGTTTTGACAACACGCGAATAATTACCTGCTGTTTTTGCGGTTTGAGAATTACGTTTTTTTTTTTAAGTCAGTAAACAAGTGAGCTTAAAGGGCTTAAGATTGTTTTTGACGTTGTCCTTTTTTTCTCGACGTTGGTATATATATATCACGTCTTGAGAACGGAAACGAGCGGCTGACATACGGCTCTGTTTTCAGTCTATGACAGATTACCGCTGTAAGTTGTAGCAGGAAAAAAAAGATAGAGGTACCTGAATTACGTCTTTGCTCAAGCACCTCGTTGTGATGCTTCACGGAAATCTTGTGGAAACGCGGTTGTCGAAATATATATAGTCATTTCACGACCACTCGACGCTGAATTATTGCCATAACGTCGTCCGTTTACGCTCCCTTACTCAAAGAGATAGGTCTAAATTTATTGACGCAATTAAACATTTTTCTCGAACAATAAGATCATCTCTCGCAAATAAAAGATATATTACGACATTCTTGCACATTTTAGTTGAATTCCAATGGCTCACACAATGTAGAGACAGCGATGAAGTACACGCCGCACATGTGTGTAGAGGTTTTGGATATCCTATTTCTCTTAAATTAATAATGGCTTGTGAGATTTGTCATTGCAGCCATTGAACACTTCCGCGTGTACTTTGTTTTCTTGGTGTTTCTATTCGAACAACGCATACGTTGAGTGACAATTACATTGCGTTAGGCGTCCAAAGTAAACTGAAGATCGCGTTGTATCGTTCAGTGACAAGTGGATCATTCTATTTGCGAGGCTACAATTTTATATACACCCAATGGTAAGTAATTAGTGGAAGCGTCACATACAATTTTATATATTAATTGTTATATAAATATTTTTATTTATTTTATCTGTAAAAAGATGCGTACTTTTTTGCATTGTCTTATTAGCAAAAACATTTTATTTCAATTTTAACGAGAAGCTGAAATTGTACAACTTTTTTTTTTAAATTGTTCTCGATGAAAAATTGATCTCAGACTAAAATCTATCATTCAAATTAAATACGTAATATGTGTTTTATATTATGTAATAAAACACATTTATTATACATATGTATATAACATATGATTTGTCGCGCTAAATACGACAGAGCGGACGAACCGCAAGCAATTCGAAATTCTTTGATGTCGCAATATCGGAAACGAGGCTACGCGTCGCTCATTTGCTAGCAATAATTTCGCGTGTCTCTCGACAAATTCGAAAACACGCGATCAATTTATTGTTTCTCTTGTTAAAATGAGATACAAAAGTATCTCTTCTGCATTGTGTACAGCCATGTTGCAACCCCGTCCAATTTCATCACGCGAATACGCCAACGTGTGAAATTCCATTCCGGTGACTTTTCGGCAGTCATTTGGTTTTACTGTCGATAGCGCGGGTTCATTTTTAGATTCGTTGCCGACGACGGCCGCGTTCATATGACAAACTCACCGATGACAAGAAATAGAACGCGCAATGACGAAGTCGCGTTTCAATAGCGTTAAGTGTAACGCCACGTCGTACATATATATGTGTATATTCGGCTTCGTGTATAAAAATAAGACGTTAAAAAAAAAAAAAAAACAGATGCGTGTCTAATTTGTGAAACTCTTACAAGAGGAAATAAAAAAAAAAAAAAAAGAAAGAAACTTGAGCGGTGACATGCGGGCTGCTAAAAGAAAATCGTAATAAATGCCTTTGCCTCTGTGCAATATAGACCGCGCGAATATCTGTCAACGCGGTTACTCGCGAATTGCGATGCCCCAACCTTGGATAATTCGCCAGCATTATTTTTTTGCTTCGTAATATTGTTGCAATAAATTGCACCTTGCGTCATCGCAACGATGAATAAACAGTAAGGGGGATTTGAATTAAAAGTGGCACGCGCGATAAAAATATCTTCGCATTGCAGCTCCCTTGTGTATCTGTAAATTGAGAGACAACGAATGTACGCGATAAAAAGATTTCGGAACGCGACATTTAGCTCGTATATGTGAATATCACTGTTCTCCGATCTCTTTGAATCTGAAAATGAGCCAATTATCGCGATATCGCAACCGCGGCGATTTTGAGTAGTGGAACAGCGTCCACTCGCGTCGGCGATGCTACAACTACTCGCATAGCGAGAAGTGTCCGAGCAGATCGCGTTGTTATCACTTATCGGACACGGCCTCTTGTACGAAGACAATTTTATACATAGCGTTGCGGCGTCCACGCGTAGGTAGGCGTATGGCGCGTGACTCTCCCGGTGGGAGACAGAGAATTTCGAAGACGTGATGACGGTCACGACGGAGGTGGTGGTCGCGATGGTGGGAAAGAGCGCTGCAAGCTCGTAGCGGTGTCTCGATATCTCTCGTGTTTAGTTGGCGCGCGGGGGCCCAGCGATTGGGTGGAACGGCCAATAGAGACGCTCCGTGCAAAAGAAAAGAGAGTAAGGGTGCAAGAGAGCGGAGCACAAGAAGGTGACGAGCGACCACACGACGAGTGTCGACGACGACGACCTAAATAAGACGAAGACGACCGAAAATTAAAAAAAATAATCAAAGTTTCTCTCTCTCAAGCTTTTCCTCGAGTTTGTTTCTCGAGCGAGCTTAAAGTAGAAATCAAATCCGAGAGTCTCTCGAGCCGAGTGTGTGTGTAGTCTGCCTCGGGTGGGTTGGGAGTGGATTCGAGTAAGTAGCGCCGTGGGAAAACGGGCTCCGAGTGTCGGGACGACTCTCGGGAAGAGAAAGAAGAGCTTGTTCTCTCTCCTGGATATCTCTCGGAGACACGCAAAACCCGCTTCAAGTAAGTTTCTCGATGATACGTTGGATGTGAATACGTTGTGTGCGAGCTGCGAGGGAGCGTGCGCGACGACTTACCGCGATACTCGCCGCGTGTCAGTGCGACTGTCTTCGCTGTTAGTTTGCTCAAAGTGTTCGAGAATTTACCTTCACATTGATTTTTTTTTCTTATTTTTCTGTCTTTCGATAATCACCTGTTATAAGTCCACGTTAACGTCACGTCAAGAGTCGCGTGTGGATCAGTGCCGAAGTGAGTTGAGCAACAAGTGACGAACTGTATATCTCGGTTTCGCGCACGCTCACTTACGCGAGTGACTTATAAAAATGAGGGAACAAGTGGATCACGGAGGTATGTCACTTTTTTTTTCACAACAATTGATTTCAGTTTTTTTTTTTTTCTACTCCGCGGTAGAACATCACACACAAATCATGTTGCACTCGGTCATTTTCATCTCTATGTATCACGGTACTTTAACATTCTGACATAGCTCGATTATATAATCCAACGAGTTATATTCGTGCGAACAGACGCGTCGAGAGACGTGATTGATATAGGCTTCCACCGGATGGCAGGAACGCGTGGAATTGGAAAACAAGTGATGGCGGTCAACGATTAGAACGACGCGAGTCGAACATTTTTCGTAAGCGCCTTACTTTTTTGTCTACCAGAATTTTGATATCGTTTGGAGAACAAAAAAGAAAAAGTGCAAATATTTATTTGAGTAACGGCGTAAGTTGATTTCTTTGGTATTTTGACACTGTGCAGTTTTGTTCTTTGATAATAGATTCAAATCAATTGGAAATTGTGATTATCGATACTCCAGAGTTTTAACATCAATTTCCAACAAGCACTTGATCCGGACGAGTTTCTCTCTCTCTCTCTCTCTTTCTTTCTCAACATCTGAACTTTACATGAATAATTACCTCGCGAGTTTCGTCGCGGCGACGGGCGACGGTGACTATTCGTAGACTACTATCTAGGTATCTAGGTTCGGAGTCTACTTATTTTTAGGAGGGCGTGTAATGTGAGGAGCAGCGGTTCGTCGTTCCGACGAGAACCATCTTTTCGTTTGTTCCATCCGTCTATCCCTCATGTCATCGTGCCGTCCGACACTTTGTCTAACGCATCATTTGTCGCTTCGTCTTCGCGTTGACTTCCTCAATCTTTCGCGGCTCGTATTTTATACGCGTCAATTTAGAGAGTTCTATTTACCTTTCCTTCTAAATTCTATTTGCATCATCTCATGTGTCATTCGAATGATTTATAAGACCATTTGACGATATCCCGCATTGTGTCTAATATATTGTGTTTTACAGACAAATTAGACTATTTAGATTTTGTTCATCCACATCGCTGCGTCTGCTACTTTCAAGTATGTTGTTAATATTCTTTTCACAGTACAGTATATTTCAAAAACTTCTTGCAAACTCTTCGTCCGTTATACGGACACTATAATTCTCTCTAGTTCCCTCAATTCAGTAACCGAATGAGAGAGCCCCAGAGAACGCTCGCGACCGATTTAAAAATATCCCACACCGAATATCTGCAAGATTCAATAAATTCGGAGAAGTTCGGCGAATGAAACCACAAAAAGTAAGATAAATAAGATAAATAAGATACACGCATCGTGAAAAAATCCGCCAAAAAATCCAAAAAATCCGTCTGTAAAGGAGAAAGAGAGAGAGAAAGTCTTAAGAATAGATAAATTAAACTATTTTGTATGAAGCAGACGTGCGTGTATTTTTGGCATTCTTGCTGCGTAAAATTTGCACAACTTAAAATACAAATGTCAAACGGTAAGATTTAAGCAGTAACATTTAAATCGATTAGTCATTCGCTGCGCTCTTGCATATGTGTGTATATATATATACATATATATATATATATATACATATATTTATATATATATATATATATATATATATATATATATATATATATATATATTTCGAATGTCGTATTTTGTCGGCCAAGCGGCACGTTTCACCTGTTGATCATGAGACTCGAGTTACGATCAGTATGAAATGACTAATACATTATTCTTGGTCGTTTGTTTGTCATTGTCACAATTCGGACCGAGAAATTTGTCGCTTCTTCTTACATCTTATTTAATTAATGTCATTTAATTACTCTACGTCCATACAATTTACGCTTCAACAAGTTATAAACAAGTTAATATACATACATATAAAACATAACAATCTTTTCAGATTTAATGATGTATGAAAAATATGATAATGAAAAAAAATGTATTGTTCGAGGCTGGATAACAGAAAGTTGACCTAGAAACCAATCCGTGTTTTTGACCCTTGCTCATTACGACATGCAGAACATGTCAAGTGCAACATTTGTTTAGTAACATTGTCAAGTTTATTTTCTAAGCATATGTATGTGTTTTTAGTTTTTTACATACTCTTAAAAAATTATTATAATTGATAGAAGATCTACGATGCATCTTACTTTATGAGATTTTAGTATCGTGTGCGTTATTTTATGATTTATTTTAATTAGGATATTTTTTTTCTCTTTGTTTTTTTTTTTTTTGTCAAAACAGTTGATAATTTTATTTGAATTTTTTGCGTTATCTCGCGAATAATATACAATTTTTATTACATACGAGCTAAGTGAGCCTTTTGACTGTATTTCGCATAATCTCTGATCTTCCGACATTTCGCAGTGTTTTGCCAAAAAGTCGAACGCAAAACCAGTTATTTACGCGACTTTGCGCATTTTATCGCGGATAGATCGGGGCGTCGATCGATGATTTTACTGCCGCTGCCGCCAATTCAGTTTGAGTCAGTCGACGAAAATAGATCGCGCGCGGTGCGACGCAAGTAACACGGTCAGTAGTATAGACACGGGAAGAGTGCGCCCGCGAAAATGCACCGCTTCATTACGAACCTCAACGAATAAGATTCGGTTTCGGATATATAATCTTACTTTGATCTCGAAGTCATCTCGGGGAACAAATCGTTGTTTGTTGTCGACAAAACAGGCGACAGGTTAAAAAAATTCGACTTTAAAATGTTTTATTTTAAAATAGAATTAAGCAAAAAAAATTTTATTCTCTTTATTTCTGAGAGAGAAAGTTCGCACATTAATTTTAAAATGTGAATCATCTTATGACACGTGTAGTTATAGTAACGTGGACTATTAAATCTTCAGATTGCTCATTTCACATGATTATCAAGCGCGAGTAGATACGTCACAACATTAGTCACGAATTACACAATTAATTCGATTAAAAATAAACGTAATGACGATTTATTTATAAAAACTTCTAGTATCGCATCACATGCGTAGGATCTTAACGATTGTTTACCGCGCTCTATTTTAGAATGATCCTGTGGAACGTGCTCTCACTTGTAAATTCGACGACAAAGAGAGGAAATTAGTTCGCGCGGCTGAGAAATCTGTCAGAAACAATCACGTCATTTTGACAATATCGGTTCTTTGTTATAAATATCACGGATATTTATTTCTACACATTGGCGCTAACAAACTAAAGCTGGTTCGGTATTCTATTTTTGAGTCGCGTTTCTTTCTTGTGTAATCTCTCTTGTTCTATGTTTCGTGCATTTGTCACTCATCCGATTTTGATTTACTAAATTTATAACAGATTGTTTTGAAGACAAATTATATATACATACATATATATATATATATATTGTATGACACATCTGTCTGGTGATGAAATCAAATTTGATTAGTCAGACCGAAATCTATTATACGCTCGATGGCAATGTGCTACTTATTTATTGGGACACAGTGTCATCAAATATGTATTGTATACACAAATAGCCAGAACAGAATTATGCCAAAGTGAAGCAACACTTTCTATATAAGCCAGCAAAAATATTAGGTCAGTTTAATGTCGATACACACACACACAGTTTATTATATTCAGCATACATTCCAGTACGAATATGTGGTATAGACCGTATCATGTTTCTCGATCAATATCTCAACAAATTGCATTTTTTGAAATTACTTTCTCTTTTGTCTGAAAATTGAGACAAGATGTACTACTCGTCATCAATGATGTGATCTTTTCGAAGGTCCCTTTCGATCTTCGGTCATTCCCTTCTTCGCTTGGCACAAGCGACGCCTTTCTGTCAAACGAGTATTTTCTAACAAAGAGCAAGAACCTCGCTCGCTGCGCAATGAATAAATCTGTTGTTTTGTTATTGGTTTAGCTATATTAACAAATTCTTATTGTTGTTTAAATAAAAACAATTCACGTCTCGTAAGACTAATTTAATTCTTAGAAGACGGAGCGCTACGCAGCTGAACGCTTTGTACGAACTCTAATTAGTAAATTAAATTACATTGTTTAATTCTTGGATTGGGTTGAATTTTTCTCAAGTACATCATTCTGAAAGGATAATTACGCGCGGATCGTTACGCCGCTGCAACAGCTTTTGCGAACGAATATGTTCGTTTCCAAATCTTAAATTAATTATAAAAAAGTTTAATACGCAAACTTCGCTACGGGTGCAAGTGCAGTTTGCTTGATATATATATATTTAACAAGACAAAATATATATATATTTGTATTTCTATAATTTATAACAATCCAACATACTTTTTCCACGTTTGGACTATTTGTTGCATTTATTTTTGTTTGTAAAAACTTGTTTGTAGAACGATTAATCGTGGCGCGGATATCAAAAACGAACCAAGGAATGCGAACGCGCTGTTACGAAGTGCAAGTAATTTCAAGAATGTATGCGGGGCCACTTGCCAAGTCTTACCATGACGTTGTAACACTCGGATTATCCGTTTTGTACTTCGTTTGGTCGATCCGGTAGACTTCTCGTCGAGAGCATCTCTCTGTGTGTTCTGTCTCGTCCAAAAAGATCAGCCGCCAGTTCGTACATTTATGTGTGTCAATCATGAATTTGTCTCTTTCTAGAAAAATATACAATTACATCAAAAATTCCTTAATTGTTTATTTTCATTAAGTTCAGAACACACTAAACGCTGAAACAAAATCTTTCTGCGAGAAGACGGTTTTGGTTTTTTGAAATTTGTTACATAAAAAAGAGACGAGTACCTGAGATTTTAAAACATTGAATTCAAGTTTTCGAAATGTGTAACAACATTAATTTTCTCGAACTGTGATGGTCACTTTGCAAAGTACGATTATGTATTGTGGCTTGTTTATTTGGCACTCTTAGAAACAGTGCGAGCGAGTAGCAGCCAGGCGTATCATGTTTCCATCGCCTGGCTGGAGTTGACATAATTAAATGATTTGTTTCACAATTTTGCGGCCTGAACGGTGGCAGTCGACCAATTATTTCGGATCTCACATTACCGGAAGGATATCTTGTCGCATTTTGACGTCTACCCTTGCACTTGGCAGCCTCTCTTCTCGTACCCGTGCGCGCGTTACGCGAAACTAATTCATACTTTTGCAGCGGTTATATTCTCAATATATTTATGTAATTTCTCAAATATTCAAATTTGAACGCGAATACGCTAAACTTTTGTTTTACTTATTTACGTGGTTATGAAATTTTGCAGGCGATTGTTGCTTCCATCGAACACAAGACGTACGTGCAATAAATTTGCGTCATAAAATTTCGTCGAAAATCGAAATAAATAAGAACGTTTTTATTGTTGATCGTTGAACAATTATTGTTTCCAAATGTGCGCACGCGACGAAGGTGCGCGAGAGAACAGGTGCAAGGGAACGTGTGTCATCGCGCGTCGGGCCGCGTCACGCGATACGTCACGCGAAAATAATCCCACCACGTATAGCTGGCGATGATCGGTCTTCTCTTGGAATCGACACCTCTGGCATTTGGTGGTGTCGCGCGGCGCGATATCTCGAGTCTCTCAAAGGAACGATTGTCGCGCGCCCGGATGATGCGCGTGAACGTATCACATCCGACTGGGTTGTATCGTGACCCAAATGCACGCGGTTTCCACGGTTAGATGCCAAACATAATAACCGATTACTAAGATAACTGGCCCCAGTCTATTTTCGAGCCAAGAGCCGCATTAATAATAGTGGCCTTACGTCACTCTGCACGACTCCTTCCACGGCCTTGGGGCCTCGTGGAAAATGCGCAATCTGGTCGCGAAAGAACGAGCGAGTCTCGCGATTTCCGCGAAAATGCGCCTCTCGCCACGCTCAATTTGCAGTTAAACATGGACCGCTAACGGTTCTTCATCGGTTAGGTAAGAACTCGCGTGGCGCGGCCCATCGCCGACGAAAATAGGCCCGACACTCGTAAATTATGAGGTCCTTTCGACGCAGCTCTTTGAAGAAAAGCAGGCGTCGCTCATTCGCGCGTTGAGTATTTCACGCGCTGAATTATTATTAGATCGACGCAAAAATAATTCGCAATTCAAACCTTATGGCTCTCTCCACGTTGTGTGTAATAACAGGTATCTGACATTTTTTTTTGTATATTTATGCGAAAAATAGAGTTATTGTGGTGAGAGATCGTATAAAATTGTGTTTACTCTGGCCAATATTTATTGTTATAATAATTACAAATAATCAACATATATATATATATATATATATATAATATTAAAGATATTTTACGGGCATTGGTTGCTTTTGCCAATTCAATGAGAGTGCGATTGTGAAATTTGAAGCAATATTATTTCACACGTTATCGCGTTCTCCACGCGACTCCGAACGGAGTGGTTCTCGGAAAATTTCTGTTTCCGTCACTTCCAGAGCGTGATCTGAAAATACAGGCGCTCGGCAAAACAAATCGTACGCGTTAAACGCGTTAAACCGTAGCGAAAACAGTCATCACACGTGTTATTTATCGAGTCAGTTATTATTTTCGAGAGATTCGGGGTGTTTTCGGCAATCGACGGCGCGACGCGGCGCAGCGAAGTCGCGACTCGGCGGCCAAGAAATGAGAAGCGATTTCAGCTGTTGGTCGCCGCCGCTACGGCATTACACGTGACAATCTCTCTGTTTTCTACTTATAGAAATTATGTAAACTTCTATTTTCAATTTATTGTACATACACACGATACAAATCGTTGTCGGACGTTCTTCTTTTCGCAACCAAAGTTGCGCTTCGTATCGTCGTTTTCTGGCGGCTTTATCTTCGAGATCTTCGAACGCATTATTTTGTCGCTGTTCTATTGAGAAACAGAAGAAAACGAACATAATCGTCGTTTTAATGTCCGCAGAAATGTACACACGGATACACTGTTTGTTTTTGACGGTTTACAGCAAGACGAGTGATACTCGTCGGTCGTCGCAGTTTCCTTCATTGATTCATATCTTTCTAGGATAAATACCGACTCGTGTAGGAACTTCGTCACGAGGTGCCACGGTCGTAAGGCGCGACGCTAAAGAAGACTAAGTATAGGCACTCGCGTAAAAATAGCTGCGTCGCGGTTGAGGCAACTACAGGTGACAGCAGCTCAAGCTGCCAAGGTTTACTGAACCACAGTGACGAATCTCGAGCTTACAATCGATGCCGTCACACTACGAGCTTCAAACTATAATCAACCTCAATATCAGCGGTCATTCAGTAGTTACCTAAAAAAACGTTCACGCAACAGATAGACAAGAAGATTAAAGTTTTGTTTTAATTCGACTTTTTATTTTTTTTTAATTTAATTTTTAATCTGATATATTGTGACACAAGTGATTTTGCTAATGTTACAATTGCGAGAGACATTTGAGAAATTCAAAATTTCGCTTACGAGAGCGATGTTGAATATAATCCAGACAGTACGTGTCTCTAAAAGACGACTTAAGTCTCTTTTGAACATCTTCAAGATGTCTTCTGGCCTTTCTGTGCTGCCTGGGAAAGTTCGAAGATCATTTTGATTTTCTCCGCATCCGAATTCTCCAACGAAACTCTACAAAGAAATAAATCTTACTTAGATATTCTTTTTTACAATTTTCCGTTGGCTTTTTGCTTACAGAACTCCTAGAATACATTGCGGGTGAGACACAGGGGAGATATAGTAAATAATTCACGCGAGAAAATCGCGGGTTGGATGGTGCCGCTGGCCGGCGCCATTTGAACCAACGAGCCAGTCGAAGGAACAGGTCTTCCTTTTGATCCCTGGTGCATATAATCACGAGAACAGGACCGGGTTCTTCGTGTAGGGACAAAAGGTGCGAAGGCGTGCCTCCAGCACAATGGGGGTCGCCGACGACTTCGCGCCCAGCTTCACGCAGAAGCCGCAGCTGCGGCAGGAGGACGACGGCAACCGATTGATATTCGAGTGTCAGCTGGTGAGTTCGCCCAAGCCCGAGATCTCTTGGTTCCGCGGCGAGACCGAGCTCAGCCAGGATGACAGGACCAACTTCAAGATACAGAGCGTCGGGACCAACAAGTTTCTGGTGGTGCTCGAGCTCGATGATGTCATCGAGACCGACGCCGGTCTCTACAAGGTCAAGGCGAAGAACAAGATGGGCGAAGTCGCAGCCTCCATCAACCTCAACTTCAGTCGTGAGTTCTCTCATATGTATTCTAGTTGTGTGCGAGATAATAAATTCACATCACGCGATTGTTCCGATCTCCACGTGATATATATTCCACTTTAATCAGTTTTTATAACTATGTATTAGCTAGTTATAAACTCTTAAAACGTGATTCTTTAATATCTTTTCTCTTATCAAAACTAATATCGTATGATTAAAATATAGAAGAAAAGAAAAAACTTTTAGAGATTACAGACTTAAACGTTAAAGTTCTTTGAACAGCGGTAATTGTTTTTCTTAGAAATTTCTTTTATTTGAAATTGATTCTAATCGGCTCGTTTTCTTGTGATTAACATTTCGTTATATTTTTCTAGCGATGGATGAGCCTAGAGAGAAGTAAGTCAAGTGAAGTTTGTGCAAAGAGAGAAAGAGTTTGTCGCTTCTCCAGGCTCCATTTAATTAACTCGTTTTACGTTACATTTTACGCTTCACTTTAACGTGCTTTTGTTCTTTTGTTTTTTTTTTTTTTTGTTTCTTTTATTGTACTTTTTGCTTTATTTTTATTTGCCGCTTATTTTGTTGTCTTTTGTTGTTCTATGATTTTAGCTGCTGAACAATCCATTAGGAGAGGGTGAGTTAGCTCTTACTCTGTGATTCGAGTGTGTTCGTTAACTTGTTGTTGGTACTAGCATTAGTGAATAAATCTTTTCTGGGTTTTTCGTATCTGTCCTCTGCTTTTTGGGACGAAATTCAAGACGCGTCTTACGTAACTAAGTGATGGTATTACGCGAAGGTCCAAATCTCTTTCTGTGTGTGATACATTATTTACTATTACGTTATCTCGACCGATAACGTTCGAGTGCACGTTAAATCGGATCGACCGAGAATAACCGTCGCAGTATGCCCGCTATTTTAAGTCGCGTTTGTGCCGCACACGCCGCGCAATCCGATAGACGAGGATTGTGTGATGGCTCGCTATGTGCGTTAGCTCGACGATCACACACAACCGTCTTCTTACCGATTCACCCACGCAGACAGAACCGCGAAACGTGGATGGAAATAGAATTAAGGTCTTCTAGTTTTGGACACTGTTCGTGCTTCGCGTTTCTGCATCACAAAGTGGCCGAATTATTTCGGCCAAACGTTTGTCTCTCGCAGACAATATCGCTTGCATTATACGTTCACATCTCCTTAGATGTGATTGAGGGAGAAAGAGAAATACAAAAAATTGATCGAACCATCAGTTTGCGCTGTCAGTTTGCGTTAACGTATATCTTGTAGAAGTCGCATCTTCTACTTTTTTGTGCAAGCAAGGAAATTGTTTTAATTTCTGTGAACTCTACTAAACTTAAAAATGTATACATATATTTTTATATAAATAACATAATGTGTGCGTATAAATTTAACATTTTGCAATTTAATTTCTTAATAACAGGTTCGGTTGAAACGTTGCAATTATGTTTTATAAGCGAGTTACGTCGCAACGCGGCAGCTGTTAAATCAATCCACAAGATATCTTTGTGCAATCCCCGCGGCGGAAAGCATTTATCAGCTCCCAAATCTCTTCTCGCATACCGCTACTCGCAGCTTACATTCCCGCGACTCTTGGTGCGACTTTAACGATTTTCGAAAGATAATTCGAAACTGGGTCGAGAATGCCTCTCCTCCACGTAGCTCCTCTCGTCGAGTCGCAGTCGGCGGCGACGACGGCGACGATGACACGACGAGAAGCTGTATTTTCGGATCGCATCGACAGACGTGATTCCCGTGAATTTCTAAAAGTAACGCGAGCCTTTCGGCTTCCACGCGTCTCCCAAAATGCGTCGCGTTTATCGCGTTTCTCCATGATGCAAAATGAAAAGGAGTGAAATAATTCAGTTAAAAAAACGCAACGTATGGGGATTCGCGCGTAATTCGCGATATTCTGAACGAACGTTTGAAAAAACGTTGAAGTTTTTGATACCGCGATAACGAGAAAGAATATATAATTCGTCGACATGACGAGCAAAAGTTTTGCAGCTTTGCGCGCGAGAGGAAGAGGAAACGAATCGACTTGATGAGAGTGAAAGTCGAGAGAGAAAACAGCTGCAGCCTATTTCTTCGCTAAACTTAGCCGGCAACATGCTCACCGGTGTTAATGCACTTATAGTCCATGCGGGCGGGATTGAGGTGCTGCCGCGCTTCTCCGCGTTTTGGCTCTCGAAATTTTGCGAGACTAAACATTCCCGATCGCGGGAATCGTAACGTAAATCGACACAAATCCACGTTGTAGAGAGAGAGGAGATTTGTAGAAATTTCAGAGGAAACGATCAACATGTGCACGAAAATAGTTGTGAGTAGTTTTATATCCGAGCTGTGTTCTTCTCATCTCCCGTTCGGGCGAAGTAGTTCGATTAAACAGAGCTCTGTTATTTCTGACAGTTTTCGCGAAAATCACGACAATCTCGTGAAACAGCTCTCTTTTTTATTTCTCTTGGCGCGCGCAGAGACGTTTGAAACTTATCTCATAACATTGGTTTTGTGTGTGTGAGTTTGCGCAAAGCATGCGATTTATCAGTAACGGGTGTGAAATTTTATTTCTTTTTTTTTTTTTTTAGTTTGTTAACGCGTTGGGAAAAGTCGCGTCGGAAATACAATGAAAATTATATTATAACGATCAGGCCGTAACGCAAAGTCTAAATTGTCGCGTGTGATCAACTGCGATTCAATCTTTAATTTATAACGCGCGATTTAACCGTCAACGCGTTAGCGAGCGATCAGGTTTCACGAATTTGTTTCCGCAAATTAAACGCCGCAACACGTTTATCAATTCGCGTTTGCAGACAAATTGACGGCATCGCACCGACTTTTGCGAAGAAGCCCGCGATTAGACAAGAGGATGACGGCAAACGATTACTTTTCGAATGTCGCATCACAGCCGATCCCACGCCGAAAATCACATGGTTTCACAGCGGAAACATGGTCAAAGATTCGCCAAGGCATAAGGTGCGTTATGTCGTGTTAAAAAATATCGAACGTTTTTTTTTCAGCAAGGAGCAATTAAAAGCGAATTCCGTTGAATCTCTTCGAACGAGCGTTTGAACAAAAAAAAAAAAAAAAAAAAAAAACCAATGTCTGCGTTGAAACCTTTCAGCTGACCGTCGACAAAGATGGCCATTCGTACTTCGCCACACTGGAAATAAAAAATGTGACCGTCGAGGATGCTGGCAAATATAAGGTCACGGCGAAAAACGAGCTTGGCGAGTCTAACGCCACGATTTCCCTGAATTTTGACAGTAAGTATCTGCTCCTTTTTGCGATACAAATAACCACAAATCCCCGGTGTTTTGTACACGTCGACCGATGATCCGCTTTACGTTTTCCACATCTGAACGCTTAATTTTTTCATAAATCTACGCTCAAACGTAATAACATGTAGATTTTTGTACATCAGTACGGTGTATTAATTTGTCAATAAATTCATTTAAAACAGTGGATATTTTTTTTTTTTTTTTGAATTTTGCAAAATTTAATTTTTGCACCGAGAGACAATTCTGTTGCATTAGAAAGAGAGAAAGAGAGAAAGAGTGATTCTAAGAATAAAAAACAAAGTCGATCATCGGCGCCGTTCCTCGACTCTTTTCTCATACTTTCATACTCGGGATGTATATCGATGTTCTCTTTTTTCACTTCCAACTCTTCTTCTTCATCTTTTGTCTCATTCAATTCTTTGTCCTGTTTTATCTATCTTTCCTTCATGTCAAACTCTAATATATTATATATCCGCAGTTTATTATTTAATTTTTTCCGTTCCACATTTCTCAGCTGATCCATTCTTCTCTTCAGTTTGTTTCTTTTTTTCTGTACTTTCTTGTATCTCTATTGTACATTGCGGAACTTTTATTTTTTAATAGTTTGTCTCGGTCGAGCGATGAGCACGTATCGATATCGGCTCGACGCGAGCCACGATATACAGCCCGTTGATTGATTTGATTTCTTTTTTAATCGACTAAACGGCATTTTGCTGCGAGAGAGCACACTTGCGTTTGTCTCTCACTGAAATTTACATCGTGTAAAATTTGCGTAGAAAATAATCAACTTGTGTAACAAACATGTACTGCTGCTTTCAATCACGTAATTAATTTGAATCGCATCTCGCGCATTAAATAGAAAAAAAAAAAAAAAAAAAAAAAAAAACAGATTAGCGTCAAATCGACATATGAGATACAAAAATCCGTATGCACGAGATGCGATCACAGATTTCAAGCCTTACATATTGACGCTTCGTTAGGTTGCTTCGATGACATCGTTTTTCTCTATTCATATATATATATATATATCACGGTTGCGTTTGTCGTGTGTGCAATGTCGACGAGAGAAGTCCAGTTACAGCGGAAGTCCTCGCTCGCTCGTCACACGCGCAAATGTAATTAGAAAAATATTTACAAAATTTATTGTGATAATATTACAGTTTTATGCTAACGCACATGTATATCTCTTTCCTCGTAGTTAACAACACAACAAGAAAAAGTCATACATAATATTGTACATACTCACATGTGTCTATTTGTCACATGCTTCCACTAGTCATTCTCATTCTAATTCGCTGGTAGAGAGAGTTTTTTTGATCACGAGTAAAACAAATGTTTAGATTATATGTGTTTTGTCGTATTGTATATATTTAGATATTTTATGAAACATTAATCAACACCACCGTTAACGTACGTATAATACACGACACGTATTCAATTTGCCACAAGTTTTTTCAACAATATTTACATTTTGATTGTCAAAAAGACAAGATCACAACAATATATACATATATTGTAATTATAAAAATTGAAATACAATTATGTTTCAATTAACTACATGTATTATACACAACTCACTCACTCGCAAACAGCTTTTTACGAAAGCTTGCGCATAACTTGTGTACAGTGTTGTACTATTTTCTAACTGCGCGCGCGCATTCGATAGCAAAACGAAACCTACCTAAGAAAAACTGGAGCAGGTGACACACTAATGGAGAACATAATTTTATACTTTGCCAAGCAAACAAAACGGCGAATAAAAGGAAAGAAGAATAGAGAAAGCAACCTAATTTCACAGGATATCGATGTTGATAATGGATTGAATGATATGTTGTATTTGCATATACAAGCGATGGCTTCAGTGCATCTCTTATATGCGGCGGTACGAAGCGAAAGTAACAATAACGAGTAGAGTAAATAAGTGAAAAGTAGAGATTAACTTTATTTTTCAGTAAAAAAAATTTTTTATAATATGTCTAGAATTCTAGAAACTTTACAAGCCAAATCGATACGTGACTCCGATCTCGCATCGAACTGTAAAATGCTTCGCGTATTTAAGCCTTTCGCTGCTGAAATTCACATGATCTCTTGAGAGTTCGTCGAATTGAGAAAAATTATTAACTTCGAATTATAGAGAGAGTTTGCTTCCGTTCTTTGATTTGTTTCCGTCAGTGTAAGCGGATTTTAAATGGTTAATGATGGTAAGTAATTTAACGAAAATTAAAATCGCAAAGTAATCAAATTTAATTTGTTAACATTTTTTTGTTCACAACTCTTGTCGCTCAGAATTTGTGGTGTTTAACTTCGAGATGTAGGAACGATAAAATTTACATACGGGGTCTGACGTTGCAGCGAAAGGATTGAGTAAGCAAGCAGGAATATGTAACGAACTATTGTCGATATGTCGATCGTTTGTCGAACGTAGGCGACGAGGCACCCGTACCGGAAGACGGTATTAAACCGACCTTCACCGAACGACCGGTGATAAGACAATCTGACGACGGTAACACCATCACCTTCGAATGCCGACTTGTCGGCGATCCGAAGCCGAGTGTCAAGTGGTAAGATCTGAGATTCGCGACGCGCGCAAGGAAGTATATCTAATTAAAAGATGTTATCGCTCAATGATGTTGAAAAAATCCAAGTTACTTGACCAAAAAATTAAAAAAATTAAAAAATTGTTCAAAAGTTTGACTCTTAGAATTATGTAGTTTTTCAAATACAATTTATTTTATTTATATAAACACAAAACATTTCGATAATGTTTCGTTTTTAACGCAAAGTTTAAAAGTAGAAAATAATACGAGATAAAGGAAATAAAAAATACGTACTTCCGAGCGTGCGAGATCCGCGATGCGGAAATGAATATTTCGACGTTGGCGGCGATCGCAGGTATCACGGTACCGAGGAAGTGAAAGACGGTGGACGATTCAACACGTCACTGGAACTCGATCAGAAGTTGTACCATCTCGCGAGGCTCAGGATCGACAATGTGGCGAAAGGAGACGCGGGCGAGTACAGAGCCGTGGCGAAGAACAAGCACGGCCAGGGGGTGGCCACCATTAATCTGAACTTCGAAGGTGGCGACAAGCTCAAGTAGGCATCGCTAAAAGAGAATCTGCCCTCAACTCAGTTGCTCTGCCACGTCGCAATTTACATGCATGTTTTATTCGATTCGACTCGATGCGATAGAAAGTATTTCGACGTTATATCTACACGGGTTTATCAGATAGGAATTGTTCGTAATTAAATGATTAAATGATATAAAATAACGTATGATGCAGGTATTCATAAAATTAAGTTTGCGTTTATTCGCAGTTTCGATTTAAATTGATCGATTATTATTCAAGCAAAGTGTTTTTTTTTTCTTATGAATATCCGTGTTTTTTTATCTGTGAATACCTGGAGATACAAAATGTGTAAAAAATCGCACGTTCTTTTTAAATGATAAAATTATAACTCTTGCATCACACACGAAACAAATGTATTTTAGAAGTTCATTTCTTGCATTTATCGAGACAATTATCGAGACAGCTGAAAAAAGAGCTTGCGATTTTCTAAATATTTTTTGGCGAGACGCTTATTGCAACGTGTCTGCTGAAGAACATTTATTCGCGCGTGGCGTGGCAGGCAGAATAAGAAAACAGAAACGTCCACACGACTTTATGTTCCGCACTCGTTAAATTCCCTCGAAATCGACATTTTTCGCATCTGACGATTTATACAGAATACCGGATGGCAAACCGCCGCGCTTTCCGAAGAAACCGACGATCCGTCAGGAGGGCGACTTGCTCATCATGGAGTGCATTTTGGAGGCACATCCGGTACCAGACATAACTTGGTATCAAGGTCAGAAAACGATTGCCGACAGCAAGCGCGTGAAAATGTCGCGCAAGGCCACCGGCAAGGACACGTACCTGTTGACTCTCGAGATCTCGAATCCGACCAAGGCCGACGGCGGGAATTACCGTTGCAACGCTTTTAACAACTTCGGCGAGAGTAACGCCAACATCTCCCTCAACTTCCAAGGCAAGTTTCCTTTGAAGCGCACGGCAGGGTTCTCATTGTATGTTACCTCATTTATTAAAGTTTTGTTAGATTTATATAAGATACATATATACACGCATATGTATGTAAGACAATACACAAAATTTTATTTTTTTAACGTTTTATAACACAAAACTTTTCTCATTATATTCAAAAAACTTACAACAATGGAAAAACTTTATATATTTTTCTATTTTTATTTGATATATACTGGATATCTAATTTTATTTACAATGAGATTCCTTCCGTCGACTTGGTCCGTAAACAAATCCCGTCAATGTTCCCAAGTTTCCTTCGCACGATAAATATCCTAAAAAAATCACGCGATAAATGCGACAAGTGACCACTTTTTTCGGTGAATGCACAATCGCGTTGATAATGAATCCGATTCATTAGGTAAGTATGTACATAGCCGCGCAATTTGCTAACCAATCGTGAAGTCTCTGTATATCTTCGCTTCGTAACTCATTGTGCTGCCAACAGCAACAACAACAACATCAACACCAACACGACTAACGACGCAAATCTGAACAATCGTGATGGCAGATCATCAGTGACTTGCGATCACGACGATTGGATAACGTTTCCGGTATTCTGTTCGCGAAGACCGGAAGCGATGCGCGCGCATTTTTTTGACTGACGATGTCTAACCGCGGATCTTTCCAAGATGCAGAGGAGGGCGCGGGACTTGCTCCGTCTTTCGTCGAGAAACCACGTATCATCCCGAACGAGACCGGCACGCTAATCACCATGAAGTGTAAGTGTAAAGCAAACCCCAAGCCGGAAGTCACATGGTACCGCGGCACCAACGTCGTCAAAGAGTCGTCGAAGATTTCGATCAAAACCAAAACGGTCGAGGAAGACGTCTACGAGCTTATCATGGAGATTAAGGTTCACAGCATGCAAACATTTCTCTCTCTTTCTGAATTAAAAAGAGATAATAAATTTTTTTAATTCTAAATTATTTTCCGACGTCAACAGGATCCGTCGTCACCGGATGGTGGCACGTACAGGTGTCACGTGAAGAACGAATACGGCGAAAGTAATGCGAATCTGAATCTGAACATCGAGGCGGAACCGGAACCGGAAGGCGACGGACCGACATTCGTGGAGAAGCCACGAATACAGTCGCAAAACAAGGGCAAGCTCGTTGTTATGGACTGCAAGGTCAAGGCGAAGCCGAAACCGCAGATAGTGTGGACTTGCGCCGGTCAGGTGGTGAAGGAATCCTCGAAGATCTCCATCAGCATTGTTCAAGAGAAGGAGGATATCTATTATATTAAATTGACCCTGAACGATCCTGGGCCGGATGATTCCGGTCTTTACAAGTGCAACATCAAGAACGATCTCGGTGAACTGAACGCCAATCTGACGCTGAATGTTGAGAGTAAGTTCGGTTCGCTTAATTTAACTATTTGTATAAACAAGTGGTTAAAAAAAAAAAAACAAATTTTAATTAAATCGAGATAGTTGCGTTAATAATTAACTGTTTTTTTATTCTTTATCGTAGTTATACCTGTAATCAAGGAGAAGCCGAGGGTAGTGAAAATCATTAAGAAGAAAACCGTGGTTGTTGAATGTCACGTTCTTTCTAAATTCGCGCCGGATTGCACGTGGTTCAAAGAAACTCAAGCGGTTAAGGAGGACAGCAGACACAAGTTACACGTGGAGCAAGTCAAAGAAGTAAGCTTCACATAAAAAAAATTATTGATAAAATATACATAAACATCTTTTTTTCAAAACAATGTTTTATAGAATTAAAAAAATTGGATTTTAATATTATAGAGTTTGATTATTATGTTGTTTATAATGTCGTGCAATGTTTTTTGATGTGATTTTTGTAAATAGGGCGAGTTCTCCGTAAAACTCGAAATCGAACAAATGTCGGTGGCAGACAAAGGCGTGTACAAGTTGGTAGCGCGCAACGAAAAGGGCGAAGCCACGTCGCAAGTAGTAGAAGTAACGGAAATTCCAGACCAAGGAGAAAAGCCAAAAATTGTTACCGGCCTCAAATCAATTGTACGTAGCGTTATTCAAAATGAATTGTTTGTTATAATTAATACACATATTATTGAAAGTTAGAGCGTTAATATACAAAAACATTGATTTTATTTACTTGTACTATATTTCCAGACTGTCGAGGAGGGCAAGACAGTCGAGCTCGTTGCTACTCTCGCAACGCAAGATCGAAAAGTCACTGTCACATGGTACAGGTATGTGCTCAGTGTAAAAAACCACTTTTAAATAATGTAATTTGATTTTTGATTGTTAAATCTTAACTATTAAATTTTATATCGTAAAAATCTAAAAAATTAGACTGTCAATTTTCCAAATTTATTTGATTTTGTTTTGTCAGCAACAATTGTCGATATTTCATGTTACATGTACAATTTTCGTGAGTTTTTTACTTTCATTTTATTAGACGTTGCAATACATATTTTATTTTCTGTTACAAAACGTAGAGAATCGACGGTTATCAAAGCGTCGAAAGACATCATGATCTCCTTCAACGGTCTGGATATGAAACTAACTATCACCTCGGCGTCGACCGAATTTTCAGGATCGTATAAAGTCGTTGTGAGCAACGAATTCGGCCAAGATGAGTCGTCGGCCAGACTCGTCGTCAAGGTAAGCGCAATTTCACATCATATCTGTCACGCCCCATATCTTCTCTATAAAATATTAGCATGTTACATTTAAAGTAAAATCGCCCCTGTTCTTTACCTAAATTCAAAATGTACTGTATTATGTTACTATATTGTAGTAATCGTAATAATTTACAATGTCCCTATAAAAGCCATGTATCCGTTGATCGTGCAAAGCTAAACTAGAGAATTTTTTCCAACGAGATTCTTATGATCGGTTCACGAATGATATATATGTTTCCCAATGTTGCATGCAATTTGTCCTTACCAAATTACAGAAGAAAGAGGAAAAGAAGAAAGACGAAGAGGAAGAAGAAAAGAAGAAGAAGAAGGTTGAGAAGAAGGAAGAAAAGAAAGAAGAAGAGAAGAAAGAGGAGAAAAAGGTGGAAAAGAAGGAGGAAAAGAAAGAGGAGAAGAAAGAGGAGAAGGTAGCGGCCGATATGAGCAAATTAATAACCAAAACGTCATTTAGTTATTTGTTATTTTCTGTTGTTTTTTCCTTTACTCCTTGCATTACTGTGTTTCCTCTTGTGATTAACAATGTATATGTTTACACCGACATACAAATACCGCTTACTATAATACAAATACAAGAAGAATTGATCGTTTCGTAAAATTTATTGTAATATAATTGTAATATAATTTATTGTAATGTAGATTGAGTCTCATGCACTTTGTACGAAAAAAAAATATTAAAAAAAAATATATATATATATATATAACTTTTAATATATTTTTTTTAATAACATATTGTTGCACATTATACGAAACGATCAATCTTTTGATTCCTCGACGCGACAATTGGCATATCGTTGAAAACATGTCTCGATACGAAAGGTGATAAATTCGCTATGGAGCGACGACGAGGATGAAGGATCAGAAGAATACGAGGAAGAAGTGGAAGAAGAGGAAGAAGTGGTGAGTGTAGTTGAGTCCAGCGTTGTCAGCACGGAAGCCATTCTCGAGGAATCTGACTCTGAAATAATTTCTCGCGTCGAGGTACACACATATACATACACAAACATATATACACAACAATTAATACTACATAAATTCTATAATTCTTTCCATCTAGCTTTATCAACGTTCTTTTTCTTGATAAAGCAGTATCTCGTGATAAGAAACGTCACTTTTTTTCTATCTTTGTCTTCATGACTTAGTTTTCAAATAAATTGTTACGACTAAAACAATTTGTATAAGAAATGACTTATAAAAATTATTCTTTCTAATGCACTTCTTCGTACTTTCTTTGTACAACACGCTGAAGTCGTTGTACCAAATATGTTTTTTTAAACATGTAAACCAATTTTTTTCTTGTTTTTTTTCAAGGATAAGCCCGATTTGAAACCAAATGGTATCGACAAACCAGAGGTTGGGAAGGTACGATACAAAATTTCTTTTTATTTTTTTAAGAAGGATAAAATGTGAAACAATAAATTTTTTTGCCAAGAAACAGCATACAAGAACACATTACTTCGTAATGATAATTGTGTATTATTCACCTGTCTGTTTACCTTGTCATTGTTCTTGTTATTTATTGTATACATATCTTGCCATTTAATGTCACGCCTTTAATGTTCGTGTGTACTGTGTGTTCCGCAACGTCTACGAACGCTTATCGCAAGCATTAGTGTACGTAGATATGCTGTAAAAGTAGTTTATAATTTATAGTAGTTTATAATTTATAAGTTACGTAATTGTGAATATTCTTTGTTGATTATTTATAAAATAAAATAATTTCGAGAATTTTTTATATAAAAATATTCTTATATAAACATTTTTATATGCAAATTTCTTATATATATGTATGTAAAGGACAAAAATAAAATTCTCTTAATGTGTTTTGTTTCAGAAAATGGAGATCTTACAGGTGAGTGTGAAAAATCGAACAATTGGATTTCGGTAAGACAATTAATATTGATCCGCTCGAACAAATAAATGATTTTCTGTGAACTTTAATGCTTTTTTGGCAAAATATTTCATCAATCTACAAAATAACATGTATAAGTTGCAACGCATTATTTTCAGATTTTTTCAGCATATTTTTGGAGATCTCATCTTGCACCTGCAAAAAAAATTGCTTTTTTGCAATTAATAATAATCAGTAGTTTTGAGTCATGTATACTTTCGCTGACTTTGTTTTACTTTTCACAGCTTAATTTCGGCTTATCCGCTATGTTTCTTCGAACGAGTCTCATGCACACGCTTACGCAATTGCTTCGATATTTGATTTCCTTCGTTTGGAGAAAAAATGTGCAGGTTTTCGCAAGCTTACAAGAAAGTCCTATATTCCTCTCCAAATCTCTCAGAAGCTGGTTTCTTCAAGATTACTAAACACTGAACCAAATCTTTTAAGTTTTTATCCTGTTCTCCTTTTCTTCTTCTTGCGGACTTGGCTTTCTTTACATTGCATGTGTTTTGTGCATGAAAAACTGTAAAATAGAAAGAAATAAGTATGTTAAAGTTACGGTAATTATAAATACAATTGTAAATATTTATATTAAAACCGTATCTTTGATTGCACTGTAAAATTTTGCAACGTCACATAATAAAGACACTTTGCTAATGTTTATTTTATTTTTTTACGTGTGCAGAAAGACGAAGAAATCGTGAACAATGTAGAAGAAAGAAAATCTGTTAAGGTAAGAATATTAACATACATATTTTCTTTCTTTTTACATATAATTATATAAAATATACGTAAAAATATGTTAATTATTGCACATTTGTTTCAATCTACAGAAGAAGCCTGCCGAAAAGATTGAAGAGAAAAAAGAAGAAGAGAAGGTGAGGATAATTGTACAATTGCATAACATCTCTGGTTGATTATTAATTTTCTAATTATTTTACTACATAAATCTTAATTGTTGTTTTAATGTAGAAAAAAGTTATAAAGAAGAAGGAACTAGAATCCAAAGAGGTTAGTTTATATGTTAGTTTTATATGTTAATATGTTTATATTCTACTTTCTTCATTATTGCATATTATATGTTATTTTGTTTAAAAATCTGTTTCTCTGTAGTTATATCTTTGACGAAATTTTGATATGTACATATTTAATATATTTATTGTTTATACGCACAGGCATCTCAAGAAACTACGCCTAAATCTGAAAAAATTGTAGCTCGCAAAGAGAGCAGGGTAAGATAAGTCGTAGAAAGACTTTATAAGAAATATAGTTGTATATATTTATCGCACGCACACATATTTAATGTTCTAGGTAGAGGAACTCAAAGCAGAGAGTCGCCGCAGCTCGGTCATTAAGATGACCGAGGAAAAGGTAAAAGAATATACATACATATTACTTTTATTAAAACACTTATGAGTCATATTGCTGAGAGTCATAAAAACTGCATTTTTGTGATTAAATTCCTACATATTTTGAAATGTCGAAATTGTGTTTCATTTTTTTATATTACTATTACACAGATAATGGACGATGGCACATCAACACCACGACGTCTTTCCGTGCAAAAGGTCCATATACACGCATATATACACACATATCACGTACAAATAGAATCGCCAGAAACAGAACAAATTTTACAATTATTTTAGAGAATAATTAGCCGTCAAAAATTTTTTAAATATTAAGTTTGTTCCTTAAAATGTTTAATGTTGAAAATACTAAGTTTAAATTCATATTAGATGTACTCTTTTTAATCAAAAAGTCATTGTTATTATAAATCAACTAGTGTAAATTAGAAGACAAGGAACTGAACTTGAATATTTACTTGAACATTTTTATATTATATTTTATTTAGACCCAAGAGGAAGTCAGAGTAGAAAGCAGACGATCTTCCATCGTAGAAAAGAAGAAAGGTGTCGTCGAGAAGGTAAGAAAAACTGTCGCATTTAGTTATGCTACCAGTGTTTTTGTTATTAGTTAATTAAGTAGTTGTTACTATTAATTATAATTAAAAGAACTAAGTAAGTATAATGTGAGTGACTGTTTACCTTCTCATCATTGACATAAGAAGGGCTTTTAGTTTTTACTGTTTCGACCTTTAAATTATTTTTATTATTTATTTATTATAACACATGAAAAAGAGCATAATACTTTTTTATTGATTTTTTGATAGAGCAGCTTGTGATGACCTTTTCTCTAGTATAGAATTTTGGTTTTTCTTTTAGAAAATAGTTTTTTAAATTTGGTTTACCGTTTTTTTGCACAGCTTTTATAGAAAGCACAAAACTCTAGTTATTATTTAACCCGTTGGTAAGAACGTAATATATAAAAGGATTTAAAACGTGAAATATTTCACGTCAAAGAACGTAAATGTATTCCAAGGCCGAGATTCATTTCATGATTGAGAGGACAAAGTGCACTCACACACACAATTATACTATCATAATTTGTTTCTAATTTTTTTATTTTACTTTGTATGTGACAATACAATTATTTTTCTAGACTACACTTACACCAACGACCAAGCCACACATACACGAACCCGATGATGAAATTGAGGTATACAAAACAGCACATATTTATTTTTAATTACACATTATTGTTTAAAGAACAACGTTACGATACGATTGCGACAATTTTAGGACATTTGGTCATCTAAACCGACAGAACGTGATAATAAAATGATAATCAACCAAACCAAAGCAATTTCTTACACACGCGAAAGTGATAAAAAACAAAAGGTACTTGCCGCGATTATTTTATGAGTCTCACACCATATTTTTTTATATAATTGTATTATTTTAAAAAAGGAGAAAGTATTTTTCAATATTGTTAACATGAGATTACGTAAAAACCTAAAATTTTTTAGGACGCACCTCCGGCCGCAGTTAAGCCGCGCATACGCGATTCGGATGACGAGCTCGAGGTACATAAAAAGTTCCATTGTGTGTTATTACACACATACTATTACGACGGAATTTTTTTATAAGCATTACTGTACTGACGCTTAAATTTTAGGATGCTTGGAGCATTCACAATCCGGGAGAGCGTGATAACGAATCTGCGCCGCATTACAGAGTATGCGAATATACAACAATACAGTAAATTTTGAAATTTAGGAAAAACTTTAACATTTGAAAAAAAATATTATTTTAGGATACATCACCAGATAAGACACGCAAACCTTACACACCCGCGGATACAACACGATCACTTCAGAAATCTGACGAAGTCAGATCAAAACTTTCACGTGACACAACCACAAGCAAAATACAGCCACAGAAATCCGACGAAGTTGCAAAAGATAAAATACATAAAACACCCGCGGATACAACGCAACTACGTAAGAAATCCGACGAAGTCGAGTCAAAACCACGTGACACAACCACACGAAAAATACCGCCACAGAAATCCGACACAGAAATCGCAAAAGATAAGGTACACAAAACACCCGTGGATACAACACAACCACTTGAGAAATTCGACAAAGTCGAGTCAAAACCACGTGACACAACCACACGTAAAATATCGTCACAGAAATCCGACACAGAAATCGCAAAAGATAAGGTACACAAAACACCCGTGGATACAACACAACCACTTGAGAAATCCGACAAAGTCGAGTCAAAACCACGTGACACAATTACACGAAAAATACCGCCACAGAAATCCGACACAGAAATCGCAAAAGATAAGGTACACAAGACGCTCGCGGATATGACACAACCGTCACAGAAATCCGACGAAGTCAAGCCGAAAACGCTTTCGCGTGACACAAGTAAAGCAGAACGTCTGCAGAAGCCTGACGAAGTTCCGAAAGATAAAACGCACACAGATACAACACGATCGCGTCAGAAACTTGAAGAAGTCAAATCAAAAGCACTTCCACACGACACACCAACGCGTAAAGCACATCCGCAAGAATCTGAAGATTCTTCGTCTGATGAGGAAATTGAGGTAGACAACACACATTGTTGCACAATAAGCGAAAACAACGAATTGCATATTTTTAAGCTATTATTTTTTTTTGTTTTTAGAATATTTGGGAAAGCAAAGAACGCGATACCGACACTAAAAAACGTGACGAAGTATGCGAACATATTTTTTACTTAATTAGTGTACAATTATATTACGCACATAAGCGCATCAAATAGATCATATTTTTAAATATTTTTTTAGCGCATACCGAAAGACAAAACACCTTCGCATGATAGACCTACGGTTAGAGTAGAGCCACGCAAATCTGACGAAGTCAAGCCAACAGATAAAACACTTGTTAGTGATACACTCGCAGCAAAAATACACTCGAAAAAACCGGACGAGGCGTTGAAAGATAGATCGCATCCACGCGAAGCACCTACAGACAAAACACATGCGCACAAACCTACCGAAGAAACTGAGGTACATAACGCACACATCACCGCATACATATTGCGCATATATGTTTTTTTAAAATATTTTTTGATATTATACACAGGACGTTTCGTCGACCAAGCCGAAAGAACGCGATAGTGATTTCAAAAAATCCGATAAAGTATGAAAATTGTTTTATTACATAAATACGTACACACATTACACGTAACAGATTTATACTTGACCACAGTATATGTAACATATTCCAAATATATAATTTTAGGATTTGCCAAAATCTAAAGATAAACCATCTCGTCGTCAACCTGACGAAGAAATCGAGGTACACACATTACGCACTTTACCACACTTTATGTCACATTTTATGCTGTATATGATTTTTTTCAAATATTTTTTTAAAATACTTTCACGTTTTTAGGATATTTGGTCCACGCGAAAGAAACACGAAAGTAAACCGCACAAAACCGATGAGGTATCTGCGTTACGTAACACACATCTTCTTAACGCGTTTAAGCAAATACGTAAAATAGCAAATATGATAAAAACAAAAATTGTAATTATAGGATGTGTCGCTAACGAAACGACGTGTGTCTGACGATCGGTCCGATGCAGATAGCACACATTTGAATAAACCTAAATCGCACGAAATTAAGACCAGGCAAAATAATGAGGTAGATAGTTGTAAACACGAAATAATTTTGACGTTGTGATTTTTTTAAGATAGCGCAAGTGATTTTTTACGCGTACGAGATGGATTAAAAGCGTTGTTGAAATTTTAGGACAAATTGGCACCAAAGAGAGAACACAACGACAAACAGGTTCTACATCACGAGGTACACGAATACAGATACACTTACAACACTTTACACAATCCATGCTTTTTGTATTTTACGTTAATGCACTATCGCGTGCGAAACAGCTTGGTAAGATATTCTGTGGTTTTAGGACACTGCGAACTACACTGACACATCACACAAACCTCCACTCGAACGAGATGTCAAAACTTATTACACGCACTACAATTACGTCAGTTGGACAACGCTTGCAATTTTGTTACGCGACAAAATTTGTGTTTTTTGTTTTTTAATTTTGTGTGTTATTTTAGGACGTGTGGGCACCAAAGTCCGTCGAGCGCGAACAAAATTCCGTCACGGTCGATAAGGTACACATATATACGTGCACACATAACAAAACAAAAAATAAATGATACACGCGTATGTCAGAAACAAAAATTTTTTTCTTTCTTAAATTTTTTAGGACGTTATTCTACCTACCACTAAACCGCAGTCACGCGAATCTGACGATGACATTGAGGTACACGATATACAAACGCGATATAATTTCTTTTTACATATTTTTGTGCTTGTTAATGCAATATAAAATAATAATGCGCGCGTTATAGGACATTTGGGCTTCGAAAACTGACGAGGATGATGCGCCGAAACCTATCAAAATTTTGCAGGTGAATACAGAACGCACGAGATGAGTTTTTACATGGATTTATGTTTATATTTTTCTATTCAAAAATGTTTTTTGTGATATTATCGGTATTTTAGGACTCGCGGATTTCTAAGGTCGTGCCGTATAAAATTAGAGACGAAGTGGAGGTACACACATATGTTTACCAATGTTATTAGAATATCGCACATTTAATTATACGCATTATAGATATTTGTGTGATAATTTCAAAAAATTCGTTCTGCACGAACAGGAACCTACACCTACACTTAAGCCCACGTTCAAATTTAGGGACAGTACAAACACACTTAAACAATCTACGGTATACACTTTTCACATTTACAAGCCTTTCAATTAATTATTATTATTATACTTTTTCCTAAATTTTTCTATGTATAATCTTTAAAATACTTATATCTAAAATACGTTCACTTTATTTGCGCTTTATGCTATTTGCAAAAAGCCAATGTTCGAAAAGACTTCACATCTCGATCTTTTTAGGACGGCGATACTCCCGAACATGAAATAGACGAGAATAAACCTCCTACAGAGGCCAAGGTACACTCGCACATACACATACAAATTACATTCGCGTACGAAACACAAAACTTTAGACAATATATTTCTTTGTTTTTAATTTTAGAGCAAAGACACTGACTCTACACTTGACAAGGAAAAAGTTCCTAAGGTATAAAAATAGCAGATCTTCTTTTCTGATAGAAAGAAAAACCTGATAGACCTCTCAAAGTTGTCAGATTTCTTTCATTATATTTTTATACAATTTTTAGAAAAAGCTGTCCACTAGACGTAAGTCGTCGACAAAATCACCAGAAGGTTCAGAGGTACAAAACAATCTTCTCTCTTCTCTCTTTTGTCAGTGCTAATCATTGACTTCTTTCACTTTCTGATCGCGTAATCTTCATATACTCTTTACTCTCTTTTCGATACTCATCTTTCTCTTTTTCTCTTTTAATCTTCGAAGCTGTTAATCGAAGCTGTTTCTTCGCAAATATGCGTTGTTGTATTTTTTATTATGCATTTGCGATTAATCAACATTTATTATGGCTGCATTTTCTTTTATCATTTCTGTGACTACACTTTTCTTCTATTGTTGTTCTTTTGTTCTGCCGCTATTCTTTCTTTTTCTTCTCTTTTTTCCTTGTGTTTTCTTCTTCCAAACTTCTTCTCCATAATCTTATTGATTATAAATATTGTACAGGACCAAGAATCTGTACTAAAACCAAAGAAGAAGAAATCCAAACCTGTGGATGAATCTAAGGTACACAAGTATACATGTCACATTTCATATTTTGCTCTCGTGAATATACGAGGAGTATACATATAACTTACAAAAAATAAGAATAAAAATAAATCAATTCAATTGTATATTGTTTAACATGGATAATAATAGCAATGAAATAATATATAACTAAAAAAAATTAAACATATTACCTAATTTAACTGCTGCAACATAGCTATATGCTTTCAGTATGTTAACATTGCATTAACAATTTTTTACGAATTATACTGCAAAGTAGAGAATACAGATACACTGACAAAACGATTTATATATATCAGAAAATTTTATAATCTCTATATTATTAGGTAATTTATGTTTTACATTCGCTTTAGACACTTTTTTAAACAGGGAACTTTCACTCAATACGTAAACCTCTTACAATATTTAAATATTTTTCTAGAAAGAGGAATCAGCCACAAAAACGAAAACCGTTGGAAAACTGGAAACAACTAAGGTACACATAATCACACTCTTTAAAGAAAACAAATTAAAAAATGACTAATTTAATATTTTTCTAACTATTTTTATAATTATATACATTTTATATACACTTTTTTTATACGTAAAATCTTAAATAAACAAAACGTGATTTTAAAAATATTATTGCTGCATTCTAGGAGGAAGCTAAGTCTAAACCGGAAGAAAAGAAGGTGAATTTTGTCAAAATTACATGTTCGCATATTCGCATAACATTTCATTCGTTTACATTTAACGATAACATTAATATTTCGCGCATACATGGCAATAATTAAAATGCACATTGCATAAAAAATATAATATCATTTCCGCTAAAGTATTACATATCACGCGTATCACACACACCATGAAAAGCACTACTCATTATTAACGTGCTACACGCATAAATGTGTGACTTAAAATATTTCCAACTACACATTTCAACACGTTTCAAACATTTTTAGGTGGAACCGAAAGCCAAACCTAAAGCGGAAGCAATAAAGGTATACACACTAGCGTTTTCAGCAATATATGCGTATAATAATTACATAAATAACAAGAAAAAAATATTAAATACTACTAAAAAGTATTCACAATTGGAAAACGTTATTAAACACAACACGCACACTTTTAGGAACCGCCAAAGACCAAACCAGACGAACCGAAGGTATACAAAATACTTCTTTTTGTATATCACGTTTTTTTTTAGATAAAAAGATTTAGCTGGTAGAAGAGTTTAGCTGGTAGAAGTAGTTTAATTAGTACATCATATAACAATCGTTATAAAAATAAACGTTAATAAAATTTTACACGTACACTTTTAGGAGGAACTGAAACCTAAACCTAAAGCAGAGGAAGCGAAGGTACACACATTATCTAGCAAAACTATATACTTATTAATTACGCACATAATTTGAAGATGAGAGAACAATATTTGAATTATATCATATGTATAAATAAACGTGAGGCAAATTTGTAAGAAGATCACGCTTTATACACGTCACTCGTACACTTTTAGGAAACACCAAAGGTCAAACCTAAAACAGAGGAAGTAAAGGTACACTTACATACTTACATCATTTTTTTATTGCACACATGTTTCGCTCACTTGACACACATTATGTAAAACGAAAAATGACAAGACAATTACACTTTTAGCAACCACCGACACTCGAACCTAAACCTAAACCAAAGGAAGACAAGGTACACAATACATTTTCACAAAATATAGCACTTATTTATTTATTTATTTATTATTTATAGTTACACATATACATGCATACACATACACGTAAATGTAGCAATTATTTTACACTTTTAGGTCGAAGAAAAGCTTAAAGCTAAATCAGAAGAGACCAAGGTATAAAACACAAACACATTTATATAAATCATTGTCAAAAATGACATACGAGAAATCACAATACACAGCAACTGCTACAATCATATTATATATTTACATACGTAACTTGGTTTTAGGTGACACCGAAAGCCAAACCTAAAGTAGACGAAGTAAAGGTACACGAAATAGATTAGATCATTAGATTAGATTTTAATAAATTAGTTTTAATAATACTGAAATGACATTACAATATAATGATATTGTCTTGACTTTTATCTAAATCGCACACGTACAATTTTAGGAGGAACCAAAAGTTAAACCTAAAGCTGATGAAGTAAAGGTACATATTTATTTTCAATTGTGTTCACATATATATTGATAGGACAACGATTATTTAAAAAATATATACTTCGAGAAGAACTCGGTTGATTCTTTTATATTATTAAAAACAAAGATGTGAAAAACACATTGATATGTATATCGAGTTTAACATTTGTAGAAAGAGGAACTTGGGGTGAAACCCACGGATAAACCGGAAGAACCGAAGGTACACACACATACACATACATCACACACAAATACGGTCTAACACAGTCTAACATTTACGTGCATATAGATGTGAAATAAATCTGAATAATGTAGATAAATCTGAATAATGTAGACGATTACATTCGCCGAAGAATAACATTACATAATATTTATGTTTCTGTTCTGTAGAAAGAAGAAAAGGAGGAAGAAGTCACTAGAAGGAGTCTGAGGTCTGTCAAGGTAATTTATCCAATCGTCGTAAAAAGCATATCGCATATTTTAAATTAGATTTTTAATAATTAACGCTGTTCTCTATTTTCACTATTTTTCAGCAACTCGAGGAGGAGAAGAAAACCCAAGAGAAAGTCGAGCTTAAGGTAAAAATCCGATGTTTTTTTACACTTGCAATCATTCACAAAGTAATGTTCAATGTGTATCATCCTTAGTAGAAGTAGAAACACTGATAAAATTAGCTTTAGACTGTAGTATTAGAATCCCTAATTTGTCTAATGTATATAGTTAGTATTATTGCAAGAGAGAGATTTTATTTATGATATCATTAAATTAATATTAGATTACAGAGTAGTTGTTTTAACTTTGTGGAAAAAATGTTTTTGTCGCTTCACTTTGGACAAACTTTCATCGATCGATAGTTTGCATTGAAAACACACAGATGCATTGTCCCATCCACGCATCTTTTTCCTAAAAATAATGTATTAATACAGAATGCCGTCGAGACCAAACCAAAATCCCGTATACCACCGAAACAGGAAGTTAAAACCGAAGGCTTTCAGGGAATTCAGCTTAAAAAGGTTACAAAGGACGGGAAACAGCCTCAGCAGGCTGAGAGTACCAAGATGGAACTTAAGGTAGCCCCGCTGAAAAAGGATCGACGCGATCTTGCTGCATATCTCTATTTGTCGTAATCTTTCTGTGTCTCTCTTTAAAAAAGCATCTCTTCGTAATCTTTCTGTGTCTCTCGCAGCGTCTACTGCCGCACTATTAAACAGCGTCAGAGTATAATTGCGCGCATCTTTTCTCACACTTCTGCGTGTGTTCACTTTTCAGGATGTTTTCTCACTTCATGCTCATAATATGAAAAAAAACAATTAATTTCAGTGTTCAATTATTATCTGTCTCTTCTCTCTGTAAATAATAATCTTTGTATATATTTTAGCATACGTATATATACGCAAAACTCTACGCTCTACACTCTCATTCTCTGCACTTCCGATTATGTCCTAACTCTTCTGTGATTTACACTTAATCACTTCTTGTTAACAACAAGATGTGTAAAAGGAAATGTTTTAAAAGATTGATGTTTTTCTTCTTTCTGTCTTCTCTTTTTGGTTTTTTTTTTTTTTTTTTTTTTTTTTTTTTTTCGCTTTATACACAGCAAGTGAAAAACAAATATGTTCCGTCTCTCGTCTTTTTACTATTCTGATCTTTCTCACGATCTTCAGTCTGTCTCTCAGTCTTTTTAAATAATAATATATATGTTTCTAATAATTGTGTAAAATAATAATATTTGTAAATATACACAGGTGTCTCAATACTGTAAATATTTACGACACCATATTAAAACGTGTACTTGTAAAAATCAATGTCTTAAACTATTACACGTTAAACTAATAATAATCAAACGTATATCCGATACGAAGAGTCTTCTTTCTCTTCGTGTAATTTCTCGTGCAATATTACATGTCGCGTTTGTCGTTTATCGCACAGAAAACCGAAAAGGCGGACAAAGCCGACGTGAAGAAGAGAAAGGCGTCGAAGGATGCGAAAGAGGCGAGTTACGAGCTGCCGGAGATTCCGGATTACGAGAGGCCTGTACTCGAGAAACCTCAGGAATTCGACTTCGGCGACTTCCAAGGTCGCGACAAGACAAAACTCGAAAGACCTACCACGCACGTAAGAAGACGATTCAATTATTTCTCGCGCACCAATATTATACGTAGTATAGGCGTGTCGAAAGTAAAGAGAGTCAAATGCAACAATTAAACGATATAATTTTAAATGTCTGTCAAATTCTCGACCTAATTGTATGCTTTGTTTTTTGTTTTCATGGTGCCGCATGCAGAAATTCGACTCTAAGGTGAGTAATATCACGTTGTTTCTCACTAATAAGCGACGCGCGAAAGAAGAATATGATTTTTTGCCAAAACCCGCTCGAGAAATCCTGCGAGTTTCGCAATTGCCAGATCGGTCGGAGACGTTTTGATCGAGGCTCATGATATGCGGTTCAGGATAATTAATTTTTAACGGCCGATTTGCGGGCGGTTTAATTTTAGCCGAGGTGCAAAGCAGAGTCGCTCGGTTTGTCAAGCTCACGGAAGGACGCGGACAATTTTTAAAGAACCGTTTATCTAAAAATACAATACTTAAGGCTATTAAAAGAGAAACCGCGGTTGATAAGGGAATACAAACATGTTCATGCGTTATTATGTTTAGATTCTTTTAATATTTTATATTTTATTAATTTTTTTACACGCATTACATATATTTCATTATTTTACTAATCTCAAGATAATTTTTATTCAAGTAAATTAATTAATTAATTGACAAAATATATAAATAACATAGGATAATAGGATATCACTTTTGAATCAAGCGTCTCACACGATAAATTGTAATGTAATCGATAAGTAGTTAGTCCGATTTCGTTTTTAAAAACCCTGCGACAAAAATGTGTTTGCTGGCAGAAAAAGAAACGCCTTTATATATTTTCTCCGCGTTCTCGTCGAAGACGCGCCATAAATACTCTCACCTGCATAATCGCAATTAACTCATAACGAACAGGCAGGGAAACTGAAGGGAAGGGGGTAATAATCAGCCGGCCCGAATCTTGCCTTGGCAAGCGATGAATGCCTCCTGTGCGACCGCCGCGCTCGCGACAGAACTATTTTGGCGGATAAATGCTCGTATGTCATCCCCCTGAAGTCGGTCTTTCGTCTTCGTCGTCGTTGTGTCGTCGTGTGCGAGGATGGAGAAAATCTCGATCGCTATTTTCGGCCTTATTGCGACTAATCCTCCCCCCGTCTTTCGCAACTCGAAAAGCGATTCGAATCGCGAGGATCAGTCGTAATCGCCCTACGTGCACGATCGTATTGGGTGATCGTCGTGTTAACACGAGCCTCGATTATCTCGTAACACCTTCGGTAAATTGAGTGTGAAGTTTTTGTCTGCGTCTCTGAGTGTTCGTTTAACCCCGATCGCGATAATTGAGAAGAAGCTCTTTCAAGTGCATCCAAGAATTGAATTGGAAATCTGTAGAATACAAAGTTGATTAAGAGATCGAGGGAAAAGTTATTTAAAAAAAAAAAACCCGTTTCTTTAACTTTTTGTTAAATTCGCGCGGCGTTTCGATAATAAGCGATTAATCGAGATTTCGAATTGTGATCACTGTAGCCGAAGGTACCGGAAATCAAAGCGCCCGAGGCACCTAAGATCGAAGTTATCAAGGACGTGACACCGGTCGGAAGCAGAAAGGGCTCCATAGTACCACCAGGAAGCGGTACCAGCAGTCGACGCGGTTCGCTTATACCGCCCGAGGAATTGGGTCGCAGACCCAGTCTGATCATCAGTGACGAGGTATGTTACGGAATGAGTTGTGTGATCACGGAGATATATAGAATATCTTGTAGGGGACTGAGCTGAAAGAGAAAAACTGAAGAAAGCAATGGAATTTGTGAAAAAATGAGACAGCATTATGTCTAAGTGCTGTAAAATATTTTGGAGGGTTTAAATTTGTTTAAACAGCTAGAAGTTTCTTCTTGAAGTAACGTGCGTACATATAGTTTGAGTTTTTTTATATTACACGTTTAATGCAATGAAACTTGAGTTAATTAAGTTCACAATTACATAACTCTATTCAGATTCTGTTGCATTCTTACGCAGTTTTAGCGTCGCCTGATTTGCTTTATCGAAATTTACGATGTTCGAGAGAAGTTGGGAAGTTCCCCGCTAAATTTGTTCATTTATCCGAAAAGATCTTGTCAAATTGCCAGATATTGTTCCAATTAACTGAAAATCGCGAAAATCCTAAAAATAAATGATAAATGCATTGACGATGAACTCTATTTTAGTGAAATATAAAATTGTTACGTGTATACGTGATAAAATATTAAGAAAATGAATTTAAATGTAAAAGTATATTTTTTATTCTATAAAAAATTGGCACCGATAAATCAAACAAGGTGATGCTTGAAAAGTAACTTTTGCACTCTTGAATATAAATAAATAAAAACTTAGTGTACATATTTTTGGACTTTAATGTATATATATATATATATATATATATATATATATATATACATATTTGTTTACTCTTACATCTGTTTTTAAATAGATTGTAATTATTATAATAAGAGTATAAAAAATGGTATATACGTATGAAATTTTTATTTATATTTGAAATACGTTTGTATTTTTCTCAATATTATTTCTTTTTATTTTGACATTGTGTCATGAGAGTATATATATTCCAGAGTGTTAAGCTCTTTCGTCCCATTAGATAAACATTTAACGAGACGCGTAAGATGTGCGCGCGGAAAACCCACGTAGGTAGACGATGACTGGCTAATAAATGCTGGTTGGCTCTAGGATTTTTTTGTAGCTTTTTTTTGGATTTCGTAGTGTAAGTCAGTGATGAGAGATCTTAGTGGTCGTACTCGTGATGGTCATTAGAGCTAGATGTGCAACGACGCGCACCACCGACGACGAAGCTCGTCGATTGGTGCACGTCGCGTTTAGTGTCAGCAAGGCGTGAGATTTTAGATTAGAACCCTTTACCAGTGAGAGATCCAAAGTTGGCCAGCTTCTGAAGCACAATCTCCCTCCCTTCCTTATATCTCCGTAAAAAAAAAAAAAGTCGAATTATCTTCTGAACGCGCGAAAATCACCAGCGAAGGTGAAGGTTTTATTTTTCTCCTCAAAAAAAAAAAAAAAAAAAAAAAAAAAAAAAAAAAAAAAAAAAAAAAGAAAGAACAACGAAAACTGAAAAGGAAAGCAATATCCGATGGTAAATATCGAGGACGGTGCCATGTCGACATGTGGAAAGTGACAACTTGAAGAGCCGGACATGAAGAGAGAACGTCGAAGAAACACGGATAATGACCGATTATGTGGTATCATTTTGGTTGTGACGCGAGAGACGATTGAAAACGTTTTTCTGTGTGAGAAATGTGTTACATTTAATCCAAGATTTATTACATATTTGTTTTATATTCCAATAAGAGATCTTGTTAAAATAATATTTTTTTTAATTTTCTCTTTTCAAAGTTACAATCTCACAAGTCTACCAAGTATTTTTAGTTTTATTACACTCAGACATCGTAGAAATATGTTAGGAGACTGAAAATAGCGGATGGTTATTAATTAAAGTTGCCAAAATTAACGCACTTCGTACTTTGCTTTCGTGCAATTAATTTTAGTTTTAATCCGCCTGAGATTCGATTTAAAATAAAACACAGAGAGAAACGTTACACGTTCGACACGACGATAGAATAAGATCAGGACGAACAATATGAAACAATTGTGTATTAACACGATGTAAAGACATGTTGCAGCACACGCATACACAATACACACACGTGTGCGCACTCACACGCGCTCACTCACACACATCCTCAAGTTTACCTCGCAGTAGTGGTTAATAGAGATTTGGTCCATAGGAGCATAGGAAGCTTCGTCCCGGCGAGGTGGTGGACGAGCGCAAGGTGAGATAAAATCGCTGAAGGAAAGAAAAACACGTCGAAAAGCGAATGTCTCGTCTGCAACCTTACTCGACTACCATTATGCACTTATTTGATTAATTTCTCTCACTTTCACTCACACACACTTACTCGCACACACTTGCTCACGGAAAACAATCGTGCAAAGAGAATTTCGCCGCGAAGACAAGTAATTTAATTTACTTTGAATTGTTTTAATAACCGCTGATGAAATTTGAACTCTGACCTCCGCAATTCTTTTTGCTCGATCTCGCCTACTACTGTTTACTTACTACTGTGATCGTACTTTACAGCACACAATGCACGCACAATTTCGCGCACACCCGTCGTCCGGAATTTAATAACCGCTCACGTTAATAAATCGTTTGAACAATTTGATTGATTTGTTTAATTAACGAGTAAATCTCGCGTTATCATTGGGCGATTAAATTCCTGACGGAGGCGTGTGCGAGCATCTCGCACGTGGGAGAGTTCAACAATATTTTTATCTCTTTAAATAATAACTTTTATATACATTTGTTTTACGCGACAAACTGTGTACACGAATCTAACAGTTGATTCACAAAAGTGAAAGATGTTATGTTTCACATGGAACTCTCGCACCGGCCTCTCGATGTGTTTCAAAACACATGTAATCCAGAACTTGACCAGCGAACGTATATAAAAACCGAATGCATCTCTCTGCACCTGGCACGGATCTGTTGCAACCGAGTCTTATGCACAAACTTTTCTCATCGCAACTTTTGACAAACAATAATAAATAATTAATCAATGAATTAATATTATGCGAGAGACGAAGGGAGCATCGCGAAGGAAAGAAGGAAGCTCGGGCGTATTCGTTGTGCATCGCGCGTCGCGTCGCGCTTAATCATACGGCATACAAGATCTCGCGTGTTCTCTTCCTGGCTTACATTACGGCTCGTATATCATCGGGTCTTGGCAAGCATTGTGTCGCCGTAGACAGACGTCGGCGCTAATAAATGTCGCGACACGACGAACGTGTAAATCAAGCCGCCCAACAACCTCAAGCGGCCTCAACGCGCCCGTCATGAAACACTTATTATCTTCGCATCTGCCAGCTTCGAACCGTGCGTCACTATCAACCGGTTTGAATTATCGCTCCGCATTCCGATTTGTGTGAATCAAGCGGACTCTCTTGAAAAAGCCTCGAACCACGCGCGAAGAAACCACAGATTTGGTCTGAACTCGAACGAGATTCGATTATTATGCACGTTGATTATTTTGCGACGATTATCATCGATACGCCCCCGATTCTTTGAGATCGTCTCGATCTGAACACGTTGCTCGTTTTTCTCAGAAAAATTAAATTGTTCCTTACTAATAAAATATACTAATATAGTATTCGATTTGTAATTAAAAAGATTTGTTCTATCCACATCTATTACACACATGATGTGTACGCGAAAGTAAAATCATGTTCTTCAATTATACGCAACGTCGCAGAGAATCGAGATGATGTAGAGTTGATTATCAGATTATCTTTGCGAAAAAGTGCGTGCGCGCGACGGCGAAGTTTCGCCGTTTCTGATAGACTCGTGTTATCTCTCATGCGATTGCACGCATGATGGTCCTGTTGTTCTGGTGTTTGCATACCAAACTCATATTGTCAAAAACTGACATCGTGCACCGCCCAATCGCACCGTCGTGTATAGCAATGCATCGCACAATGAAACGCACAAGCCGTCGGAATGTCGGTAAGCCTCGACCAGCCCCCTCGAATTGTTAATAATTGTATTCATCTGTCGCGATTTCTCCTCTTGTCCTCCCTCAAGCCCCTCCGAGTCACTCTCACTCGATTCTCAATTATTGAGCACGCGGATTAAGTAACAAAAATCCTCTCTACTTCAATTCGATAATAGACGCGAACACAGCAAAGCAGGACAGGAACATTTTTGTTTTTTTAAATTATTCTGTGAAAAAAAAAAAAAAAAGAAACGATCTATTCTCTAAAAAAATTGTTCGGGAGAGATAAAACGATTTGTGTAACAGGTGACGAAGAAAAAGTCTTCACGATAACGAGCGATCACGTCGAGATTTTATTTTTAACCCTCATGTATTCGTCTCTGTGATTTTTTCCAGTTGGGAAAGTTACGACCCGGTGAGGTGTTGGACTCAAAGGTGAGATTTGTGTTCGCTATAACACAAAGCTTACCTGCTCAAAAAGTCACCATCACCAGCTGTCATCTGTATATTGCATTATTATTTTTTTTTTTTTTGGTTTTACATTACGGTTCCCCCGAGTTATCTTTTGGATTCTTTTCTGTGTCCACAGTCCCTGTGATTTTTAATCTCATCATTTTGAGCGACGTTTATTTTGCCCCTTGCCCTTTACCCCCTTGAAAGAGCCCAGCAACTAAATGAAAACTAAAAACAAAATACATATTTAGCGACAATTTAAACTCCCAGCGAAAGAGGCAAAAGCAACGTGTTACCGCGGGACGGCAATAATAATATTAATAATAAAAATAATAAGGACATGGGGATGATAATAATATTACAATAATATTAATAATAATGAAAATAATTCGTTTTTTTAACCACAAGTTTTTTTTTTAAATTGCTGCTACACTGCTGCTCCTGCTGCTAATGTGCACAAAAACGCCTAGCGGTTTAATATCACAACTTTAATCTCGGTTTAATAATTACATTGACAAGTAATTCACTGATCGCATATAATGATCTGATTTTTTTTCTCACATCGGAAAACAACTCCTCATATTGAATCCCCCCTTTCTTCCTAAAAAAATCTATTTTACGTGGAAACCTTACAGAATTCACATTTCTCTCTTTTCTCCCTTTCTCTCTTTCTCTCTCTCTCTCTCTCTCTCTCTCTCTTTCTCTCTCTCTGTCTCTACATCTGTTTCTATCTCATTTTTTGTTTTTTCACGCACCACACACAGACTAAGTCCGGCCGACCAGGCGCGCTGCAAGAAAAGGAGGTTAGCACAATATCTCTGTTGTGCGTGTTACGTGCATACACGTTTTTATATGTATATTATTTTTAAATATTATTTTATATACGAGATATACACGTTTATATATATGTAAAGATATATATATAGTTTTCTCAATATTTTTATCTTTTTTATTGCGTGCTTCGAATTTAAAAACTATATTTGGCACAGGTTTCTGAAGAGGTATCTAAAAAAGTTTCGGGTTTTAGAATTTTACATTTATTTAAGAATTTTTTTATAATTTTTGTAATATATATTTTTGTAATATATATATTTATAATTAATGTAATGTATTAATGTGTGTATATATATATAATATACATCTTTTGTAACATATATATTCTTATTTTTTACTAAGATAGTTACTAAATTAATCAAAATCACAAATTTTTTAGATATTTTATTCGAAACCTGTCTGTGTAAATATTTTGCAAAGAGCAATTCGCGGGATAGTAAACGCCGATGACGCGCTTTCAGACAATGTTTTTTACATACAGATATTACGCAGATTTATATGCGAAGTAGTATTGTTTTTCTAAATAAAATAAAGAGGCATATACCGAAAGCTCGTCACGGCTGCGGGAAGGTTGCTTATTAGTTCGAGCGGACACACCTGTACATTTTATGCGGCTAATAGATGCAATTTAGATGCAATTGTAATGGTGGTAATAAATTGTTATATATAAATTTGCGTACTAGAAGTTAAAGCAAAATTACTCATTGGCATATTCCTTGTCAATTTTGTTTTTTTTTAGCTGGAAAAAGTTGCTCTTATACGAAATCTACCACCATTAAAACTCAAGTAGTAAGACTCGATATCAGACCGGTCGCAGTAGTAGTTTTTTTATTTTTTTAATAAAATTACTTCTAAATCTCTGCTCAATATTTAACAACGGGAATCACTTATTTATTGTTTTAAATCGCTTACGATTTAAAAATAAATATTTTGAAAAATTATTTTACGATGTATTTTACTTTGGTTGATTATCTCCGCAAATTGTGAACTCTGCTGCGATCGATTTGATAACGATAGCAGTTTGCTCTACGTGTCAGATATATATATATATTAGGTCTACCGGAAAGTTCTGTCCGTTTTTGGAATAAAACAAAATACAAATTTTTCTTACCGTCAATAAACTTTATTAAATAATATAATTACCATTATTATATTAATGATTTCTTGCCAGCGTGAGGGCAATTTGCATATTCCATTTTTAAAAAATTAAGAAAAATTTGTATTTTGTTTTATTCCAAAAACGGACAGAATTTTCCGGTAGACCTAATATATATATATATGTGTGAAATAACTTACTCGTGTATAAAGAAATCTATGTATAGGTGTAAACTTCTCATCGTGCTCACACTATATACGTGTACATTTATGTGTCAAGTAGATCCGGTCGAGATATAATCTTTTTTGTTTTTTCTTAATCACCACAAATACGATATATTATTTTAAAACGTAGAATTATTTTATGTTACATATCATTGTTCTGTGTTTATCGTATTTGTGCGTCGTAAGATTATGTCTTTTTTTGTAAATAATCCTAATCATTGAATTTCCCGTTAGACAAGTATTCGAACGGCAATTTAGTTGACAAGAAATAGATCCGTTTACGGCGTAAGCAATCATTTTCACATATTCCAATGTGTCATCATCAACACAGTTAAAGTAATCACTCATTTGTCTTTCACATTATCCACATTTCTTTTTATCTCTTTCTCACAAATTTCTATTATATTTTGATTTTTCCTTTAAATATCCTCGTATTTAGATGTATCCAACATTAATACTAGAAATAAAGACTAGAAATTAAGAATATATCGCTAACACAACGTTTCCTGTCGAAACTTATTATACAAATTACATTGGACTGGAAGGAATAAAAAAGAGCGTAATTCTGCGTTTATTCTGTTTTATATCAATTTTAAGTTAAAGAATTGTTTTCTTTTGTTTGCCTCAAACCTTCGATTAAAAGTTTTCTTTTTCTCTGTCACAAAAGTTATCTCTTCTAGTGCAACGTAATGTCTCATCCTGAAAGTCTCTTGACCGACAATTTTCTGTAAATAATAATTAACTGTACTGTATTTCAACTTAAAATGTCATTTTACACATGATTCGCACTTTCGCTTTGCGATTCACGCATAAATAACCGTGACAAATGCGTTGGTCACGCACCGAGTGTGCATTGGTCGCACAAAATATCATAATCATCGCTCATAACATCGTAGGAATATACATATGTATATATTTCATGGAACAAACAATTTCCTCATTTGTCTTCACGGTTGAAAAAGCAGGAAGAAGTTTTCAAAAATTGATCAGCAAGGTTACTTAGAATTTTATCAAATAAGAGTTACATCAATTTTAAAAACTTTCACGTTCCTGTCTTTTCCAACTTTTTATTCATCCGAATAATACATTCCCTTTTGTGTTTCCGATTATGCACTGTGTACACTCAAGGGATTCTCATATTATATTCAATTGTTAAAAAATGTTTTTGGCACACGATATAAAAAACTGTCAACAAAATCATCAGAAGTGATAAAGTAGACAGTGTCTAATGAAGTACAGAGAATCCTTGAGATCGCAGTAGCCACAAGAAGTGGCTAAAGAAGCGAGAAGTTCCCCCGGAAGTCGGAAATACATCGATTTCCCATCTTGCTACTCGATGCATCCTGAACGAGAAAAAAACGAGTTGTAGCATTGTCACTAACACCATTGAAACTCACTTGATTTTCGTGACTAACACATGGTAATCTAACGATTGGAAGATATAACGCAGACTAATATGAGAGAAGTAACAATTAATTGTAACTAACAAGAAAACTTAACACAAAGATTAATGTGAATAAACGTAAGTAATTAATGAATACATATCAATGTAAAAAAATACGCGCAATTGCATGAGCTTCAGATTTTTCGAATCGCAGTGACGACTTCCGTTTCAGTACTTTTTTATTATTTAATTATTGTTTCTTTTGCAACAAAACGTATATGTTAAAGAATAACAAAATATATATCGACTTAATTCTAATTGAAATCGAAGACAGAAGTGAGGAAACGTTTCCTAGAAAATAAAAGAACAATTGATGTAATTATTATACTTCTTTGTAATATCTATTATTTATACAACTATAACAAATGATAGTTTATTTTAAAATACGTTGATTTAATAAATTTCCTTGATTCTGATTTCGCTGAATTATTGAAGATAAAATTATATTTTGTGTAAAATCACAAGCGGAAGTTGTCGAAAATATCGTGCTTAAAATTGTCTCGCTTTTATTCAAGAGCTTATCGATGCCTATGTTAAATAAATAAAAACGAAGTATGTGCGAAGTTGCTTATATTCTCATTGGAATGACAGCGTCGTCGTCCAAGCACGGCGGACATCAGAAGACCCAGCGTGGCGGACCTCGAGAATAAGATCAATCAGCCTAGCACACCTCTGCGAGATGTCGGACCAGCTGGACCACCCCAAATCGTCGATGTCCAGGAGTCGTACTCCGCTGTCGAAGGTAATTCATTAAGTGCATATTATTATAAAATATTTTAGAACAATTTTTAATTGTATGATTGGAAATATTAAAATTTTTCATTTAATTATCGTGATTATTATACAAATTTTAATGCCAGTTTTTTTATCAATTTAACAAATTGCGATTTGCTACTTTTTGCAGACTCGACGGCGTATCTCACCGTCGCGGTGGAGGGCACGCCCGCGCCAACGTTCAAGTTCTACAAAGGCATCACGGAGATCATCGAGGGTGGCCGATTCAAGTTCCTCACTGATACGGAAACCAACACGATCACCCTCTGCATGAGGAAGACGAAGCCCAACGACGAGGGCACCTACAAGATCGTCGTGAGCAACATCCATGGCGAGGACTCCGCTGAGATGCAGCTTTACGTTTCCGGTGAGTTTTAGTTCAACACAAAAAAATCAAAGCTTGAACAAAAAATAATTTTTTTGACGACTTATCTATGTATAATAAAATATGCATTTACATGTTCTACATTTTATTTGTATAAATTTTATAACAGACGCCAGTGGTATGGACTTCCGTGCCATGTTGAAGAAGAGGAAGTATCAGAAATGGGGGAGAGAAGAGGCCGAACAAGAGAAGGTAGATTTGAAAGAAGTCGAGAAACCCATGCCAGCGTTGAAGAAAGTAGAAAGGGTATGTACTCTTTTGGATATTTACACATACACACATACAAATTGTAATAAAAATAATATTGTACAGGATACAATTTCATGTAGTTTTTACTTGTAAAATTAGTAAATTTACTTGTTTTAGTAAATTTACTATTTGTCTTTTACAAATTTGTTTATTCGTTTTTAAGATACAAGTTTTTTATAAATATGAAATTATTTTACATAATATTACATTCCAAAAGCAAGTTGAATGCGTCTTATTTGCATTCACGACATGTGTAACGCATAAAATGAAATGAATGATCGAATGCGATTTCAGCACGTCATTAACAAGCCTGATGTCTTCATGAATATAAAGAACAGGTGACATATTGATGGTATAATATTTTTAACTCTGCAAACTCTCTTGAACTATCCGGTTCTTTGAATCTAAATTCTAATTTACAAAACAACAAAATAATAATCCGATAATTATATTTTCTGCGAATATCTACGATGTGTTTATTTTAAATTAAAAAAAACTAAAGCTTTTTACGGAAAATATACACTAATATAAAACTTTATTTTTACAAATCTAGAACAAAATCACAAATTAACACACTTTTCACAGACGATAAATAAATCAAAATGTTTATAGTTTTTAACACACAGTTTTTTAATTACATAGAGGATTTTTCAGTGACATATTTTTTTAGCAGTTTTTTCGTCGTACAGCGATTTTCTCGTTGTCAATTTTACGCCGAGACATAATTTTTTGTCACGTTTCATCTTCAAATATTCCAAATGCGTTTTCTCCTTTTTTTTTCTCTTGTTTGTCCACCTCTGTCTCCTTAGTCGCTACAAAACGAGCTGCAAGGACCGAGCTGGTTCCAAGATGGCGAGGAGATAGTGATCTTGACCGAGGGTGTGGAGATCCTTCGAATTTCCTTAATCAGGAAGGGTGAAACTAACTGGACCTGGCTCAAGGTTTTTTTTCGAGCAACTTTGTACAGTCAACCCCGCAATGACGATGACAGTATGACGATGACGATTCGCTAGAGCCGCGTCCAATTATATTTTTGTAATTTTTTATAGTTCTGAAATTAAGTACTAATTATGAGAAAAAAAATACTAATTATAAAAAAATTAGATTGTCATAGACGTTTATAAATCTCCTTATTTCCGAGATACTTAAAACTTTACTATGCTACATGAGTTTTCTATTTTCCTCCGCCTCCATTTTTATCTCACACAAGTGACGTAACTATCTCTTCTTATCCTTAACGTTATGCATTTTACGTAAATGTATGATTTAGAGTTAATGCTGCACGTACATCTATCCCTCCATTCGCTCAATCGAAATATCATCTTTTCTGTGACTTGTTAAAAAAATTATCAAAATTATTTTCAAATTAGTCAATTTCTTTCGAGAATTGACAAATTTTATTTGTTATTTTTGTTAGTACTTAGCTGTATTTTATGATATCCATTTGTGGGGGCTAGCTGTATATATTGTTTCACATTTATCAAACACATTTGTCTATTAACAAGCAAGCGCGATTAACGTGATTAGACAGCCTATCGCTGGCAGAAAGACAGATATGAACTGCCATGCATGTAATTACTTCTCACATTGGCGGAAAAGCATTATCTCTAAAACACATAAAAGTATTCATAAAAAAAAAAAATAAGAACTCTGATACGATCGATCAAAAATGTCGCAGAAGAGTTTAGAAAATCATATTCTCATATTTTACAAAAAGTAGTTTTAAATATTTGAAACCTAATATAAACAAAACAAAAGATCAATAATCACTATATTTTTTTACAGATTAGTTTTTGTTTCTTTTTTACAATATTTTCACATTTGTACGTTCTCGTCAAATCAGAGTTCTTTGAATATCGGTAATGGCTAATTGTATAAGAGTGGCATTAACCATGATGTGTGTGCCGGGCATGTAGGACATCTTCGACATTCAGCGCAGGCCAAGTTTGCAGGAGCTAATCGTCGACTGGCCAAAACTTACGACACGCGCCAAGAAGAAGGTTCGCGAAATAAAAGTCTTACATAAAAGCAATACACACATCCTCGCATTAGATTCCAAAAGCCAAGGAAAAACAGAGAGCGAAATTGTCCCGCAAGGCTTTCACTTCCTCCGTGATATTCTGGTTAATTAGTTTCGAAACATAAAAACTTTTTTATCTTTTGATCGAATTTTTTGTGATGTAAAAACACTTAATTATTTTAAACCATACCTAACCTGCAAAAAGAAACAATAACAAAAAGATAAGAGAGAATTAGGTGGATAATCTTTTGTGTTTCTATTTATAATTTGCCAGAATATCCGCGCGTGTTCTTACTTTGAATTGTTCAAACGTTACCCTTGTTTTTGTGAAAGAGACAGAAAAAAACTTGTGTTTATATTACGGCAAAGAGATCAGCTCTTGCGCGATGTGGGCGTATTGAAGTAAATTGTAAAATTGATCTCTTTGTTTTAAAAACCAGTGTTACGTTAATCCTGAATTAAAAATGAACTAAATAAAATCGAAAATAAATAAAATCGAAACAAAAGCCAGTCAAACCGTCGTAAGACATTTATATTTGATCAATTAGATTTAATTAACTTAAAATGTAAAATTTTCAGACAATTCTTGCGATTATGTACGATATTGAGATATTTTTTTCTTTTTGGCCTGCGCTTTTTTTTATAAAATTAAAAAAAAAATATCGAGAATCTATGAAAGAAAAAGTACAAGTATGTGAATTAGTATATGTCACTTACAAATTGTATCATCCACGCTTATTAATTGCTTAGCTTAATTCAACCTTAGCCTCACGATCACGCTTATCAACACGCATGTTATACGAACGCATGTTTTCAAACACATAATAATGTAGTTCATTAAGTTTGAAAGCAAATTAAATAGATCATTTGTTTAACAATTTTACCATCGCACTTTGCTCTGTTGAGTTATGTAACTCACTTATATATCTGCAAAATTATAAAATTGTCAATATGTCAAATGTTATTAACGTTAGATTATCAACTAAACATAATATAATGTTTTATAACTGATTAAATATTTCAAAATATACATGTTTATAAATATGTATGTTCATAAAACCGTATGTTATAACATGTTATAGGAACAATTTTGATAATATTTTAATAGTGATTTACACAAGTGTGTTACTTGTACAAAATTTAACAAATATAATTATTATTACAACTGTGTTTAATAATTGTAATAATTGATCATACATAACTCATAGTGACGAGTAGCGACAAATATATCGCGTATTTTAATAATAAAAAGTTTACGGAACCAATTGAAATTAAAAGGACTGAATTATTGAACAAGATTGATTTCTCATTGGAAAAAACGATTAGCGAGCAAGATCGACGACCGAGTTTTTCTGAGAAGATGCTGTGAACGCGGATTTGCCTTTTGTTGTTTCTAGAATAGTGGATCGCGTAGGCCGTCTCTGGCCGAATTAATTCCTGACTGGCCGATCCTACATCACTTCGTCAAGACGGAGGTTGGACCGATTCTCACGTGAATCACACAAATATCTCAATATATAATCACGTGATATCGACTCTCTGTCTGTCTTTGCCTGTTGTCTCGACAGTCTCTCGACGATCTATCTGACTTTTCTTCCACTCGAGAACTCGCTCTTTCTTTCTTGAAATCACTTTCTGCCGAACAAATTAATTATCTCTTACCACATTTCCATTCTTCTATTATTTTCAATTACTTTATAATGGATTTTTTTGTCTTTCAATTTTAACTTCTTAAAATTGAAGTTACAACACTCTATGTACAAAACTATCTTGCATTCTATTCTGACTCGATGTGTAACTATTTCTTCTAATATTTAATTTCTTTTTTTCTCTTCCGATAAATATTCTTATTTAACGTTTTAGGAACATTTAAAGAGATTTCAATTTATAATTTGTAAAAACGAAAAAAAGTTTAAATTTAATATACACATGCATTTATTTATTTTAATATTTTACTAGCATTATTTAAATATTTAATATTTCTTCTTTTCAAAAGTAATTGTGAAAAAAAATTACACTATAATTGGAATCTCTGAAATTGTGTTACGTTTTTCTTCATCGATGTCGCATCTAAAATGTATAGTATAAGCAGCGCCTTCTCCAGCAACTATCTTGCTCGAACAATGACGAGTACTTTTTTCATCTTTTTTTGAGGAAATCCGTCCACTATTCTTCTTTTTTTTTTCTCAAAACCGTTTAACATCAATCTTAACAGTAGTAAGCATGACAAGTCATAGCTTAAACAACTGAACACTCGACTAGCTCAATGAACAATCGATTGAGCTTTTCGTAACAACTTTTTTCAATAGAATCTTTTTTCTAGAGTTTTTTTCCGAAGTATTCACGAAGACGTCTTCGTCTTTATTTATATATTTTTGTCGTCTCTTTCTCGCCCTCCGTTCTCCTTACTTACTCGGAGAGGCGTCCAGTTTTCGATTTTTCTACTGAATTTTCCTGCTAACTTTGCTGCATCGCCTAGCAAAGATCGCTGTCGATGTTGAACGATATACTGTTGGATAGATTTATCGGTAATTTTTTCGCGAACATAATCCACGACTGATCGGCGATTTCTCTTTCGCAGAAACAAGAAAGCTTCCTGAAGCCACTGGTGGATCAATATGCGAAAGAAGGCAAAGACAAGAAGGTTGTCTTCGAAGCAAACTTTTCGAAACCGAACTGCAAGCCGAAATGGTTCTTCCGAAAGGACGTAAGTAATTGAAGAAAATAATTTATGCAATTTTTAAAACAATGTGTAAAATAATTAAACCACATTTCTCGTAACGTACTTATATGAAAAGAACAATGAGAAAAAACGGATGAGAATTATTAAGATTTCATGATGAATAATTCTCTGCGTGTGTGCTATATTCAGGAATTGTTCCCGTCGGCGAAGTATAAATTCAAGAACGAAGAAGACTGCTACCAGCTTATTATCACTGGACCGAAAGTCGAAGACACTGGAAAATACACAATTGAAATTGCTGGTGTATCCACCACAGGCTTTCTTAATGTGGATGGTAAGTACATCTTTCGTACTTCTTAAGCAGAGAAGTTCGATTATACTCTCTTGTTTTTTGAGAGAGGATATCACAAATAAGATTTTATGGATGTCAAAAATTTCAGAACCCGACCCGACGTACACTTTCACAAAGCCGTTGTCGAAGAAAACCAGCGGTTTCACCAAGCACGAGGCTTACATGGAATGTACAGTCAGCTCCAACTTGGCGCAAGTCTCCTGGTACAAAGACAAAGATAAACTCGAGGTAAGTTTTTATCAAACATGAAAAATAGATTTTACATTTCTTGATTGTAAAACCAACTTTTGATGCGTTCTTCAGGATGGAGACCAATACAGTATTTCCAAAGACATGTCGGGCGTGTGCCGGCTGACTATCAAGAGCGCAACTCTCGAAGATAGTGGCGAATATAGTTGCAGGATAAATAAGCAGTCAGACAGAACCGACACTGTTCTCACAATAGTCGGTGAGTATTTTTTTTTTTTTTTTTTTTTTATCAAAATTAAATTCAAATTAATTGTAATATTTTCTAGCGCCATTTTGTCAAAACTACAGAACACTCGCATAAATTAAATAACGATTTTGTTCTTCAGAATATCCTTACAAGTTTGTCAAAGTACTGAAACATCAGCAACTGATAGAAAAAGAGACACTGACCTTGTTGTGCGAACTGGACGACGACGGTGGTGACGTTCAATGGTTCAAGGGAGATCAATTAATCACGTCTGACAAGAGGTGTGTTTCAACGTTCCAATTTGTTACGCAGTAGTTTCTTTCACTTTAAGAATTTCTTTATTTAAATAAATTTTTCATTACCAGGGTACAAATTAAAGAAGATGGTAGAAAACGCAAGCTTATCATTAAAGATTGCAAGGTCACTGATGCTGGACTCTACTCCTGCGTGAGCAACGCCGACAAGACGGAAGCTGAAATTGTGATAAACTGTAAATAAGAAATTATTTGCACTTGCATCTTCTCAATTTTTCTCATTTTTTTTAAATACATTACACATCTTTCTCTGTAACTGCAGATGCTAATCGTTTCAACAAGAAGTTAAAGGACACCGTCGCGGTTGAGAGAGAAAAGTTGGTGTTGGATGTCGAACTTCAAGATCAGACCGCACCGGCTATATTCCACTTCAATGGCCAGAAGATAGAGCCCAACGAGCGAGTAGAGATCAAGAATCTGGGTGGCGGTAAGCATCAGTTGGTCTTCAACAGATTGGAGATGACGGACGATGGTGAGATTATGTGCGAGAGCGGTCAGTTGACCAGCAGTTGCAAACTGACCGTGAAGAGAGGCGAGAGCAAGCCTATCGTCGACTTCCCCGACAAGGTTGAAGGACCTTGCAGTGCGCCACTGATCTTTGTCGTGCCTTTCAAAGGTAATATTTGAATTTTATATTCTACAGTCTCTGCACACGATTTTATGGAATTTAATAGAACGTACGGCAGCTGATGCAATGAATTCTCGATTGTAAAATGTAAAATCTATACTTGCATAGTCGAAGGCACCAAGCAGAGTCAAGTGGAAGCAAAATTGATGAAGGACGGCAAGGCATTGCCTCTCAAGGACGTTGAAATCGTCGTAGGCGAAGATAAGATCACGTACAAGATCAAGAAACCGCAGCGTGAGTCATCTGGAATCTATCAGATAAAGATCGGTAACAATCAGGGTGAGGAAGTGAAGGATGTGAATATTGTTATGCAAGGTTAGTGTCATATCTTCGTCGAGATTTTAAAGTATCTTGAGTTTTTATATTTCTTCTTATTTGTGAATTATTATTCTTTGTAGACGTTCCATCTCCGCCATTGGATGTCGAAGTCAACGAGATCTTTCAGAATTCTTGCGTCGTATCGTTCAAACCGTCCAAAGATGAAGGAGGCACACCTATTACAAAATATATCATCGAACGTCTCGATCTTAGTCTGAAGTCACAGTGGGACAATGTCGGTGAAGTCGCGCAGGGTGAAAAATGCGTTTACAAGGTCGCGGATCTCGTGGCGAAGAAAGAGTACAAATTCCGCATACGGGCTGTGAACAAACTCGGTTCCAGTGAGCCGGCTATGTTTGCCAAGCCCGTCTTGGCCAAGGATCCATGGGGTAAGTTTTTTATGCGACTTGTTTCGCATTGGTATAAAAATGTCAAGAGAGAGACGAAGTGTGACAGATAAACAAAAACTATTCTCGCGTTTTCCAGATGAACCCGGCAAACCCACAAACGTCGACGTAACCGATTGGGACAAGGACCACGCGGATCTGACATGGACGAAACCCGAGAACGACGGTGGTGCACCGATCACTGGTTACGTAATCGAATACAAAGAGAAGTTCGGTAAGGAGTGGGTGAAGGGCAAGGAGATCGAGGGCGATGTGACTCAAGCGACCATTGACGGTCTGAAAGAAGGTACACAGTACGAGTTCAGAATACGAGCTGTGAACAAGGCTGGTCCTGGTGAACCGTCCGACGCTACGAAACCGATTATTGCCAAATGCCGATTTGTCAAACCATACATCGTCGGCGACGGTCTCACGAACCTGATCGTCAAGAAAGGCCAAGTCATTAAATACGATATCAAATACGCCGGTGAGCCAGAACCTGAAGTGCACTGGTTGCTAGGTCAAAAGGAAATCGTTCAGGACGCGGCCGAAAGGATTACAATCGACAAATACGAGAGGAATACCGTGTTGACAGTCAGAAGGACCACTAGACCTGATTCCGGAAAGTACAAGCTAGTGCTAACGAACAGTTCCGGCACCTGCGAGAGCATCGCCGACGTCGTCGTTCTCGGTAAGTCTAGCAATATCGCGATGCCAATTAGTGTTTGTATTCCGGAAATATGAGAGCTTTCTCTGAACAATTTTTAATTGCATATCCTTTTCTGCGAAATTCTTTTATAAAACTTAAAAAAGTCTTTGTAACAATATTGTTTTTTGATTTTTTGTAGACAAACCATCGATTCCGCAAGGACCACTTAAAGTGGAAGAAGTCCGTGCCAATCACGTTAAGGTCAAGTGGGATAAGCCAGAAGACAACGGCGGTACCGATATCACGGGTTATGTATTGGAAAAGATGGATCTGGATACTGGACGATGGATTCCAGCCGGAGAAGTCGGTCCCAACGAAAAGACCTTTACATTTTCTGGACTGACACCCAAGAAAAAATACAAGTTCCGCGTCAAAGCGGTCAATAAGGAAGGCGAGTCCGAACCGTTAGAGGTCGAAGAAGCCATTCTTGCCAAAAATCCTTATGGTAAGAAAATAAAACTCATTAATATCTGAAACTTAAATGTTTCATGTTATTGCAATATTTTTACAAAAATTTTGTAAATGTTTTTTAATAGACGAGCCTGGCAAGCCTGGCAAGCCAGAGATCTTCGATTATGATAATGTCAGCGTGTCGCTGAAGTGGGAAAAACCGAAGAGTGACGGTGGCAGACCGATCACACATTATACCATCGAGATGAAAGACAAATTTGCCGCCGATTGGATCGAAGTGGCCAAGACTAACGACGCTACTCCTGAGGTTAAAGTTGAAGACCTTAAGGAGAAGATGGTGTATCAATTCCGCGTTCGTGCTCATAATAAAGCCGGACCTGGCGAACCTAGCGATCCCACGGATAATCATCTTTGCAAGCACAGAAACTGTAAGATAAAATCTAATATATATATGTAATACATTATTTTCTAAAATAGTAAAATTTTAATTAGTGAAATTCTTCTTAAAACTAAAAAAATAATTTTAGTGAGACCGAGAATCGATCGAACCAACTTCAAATCGATCATCATCAAGGCTGGCCGCACTCACAAATGGTCTGTGGACGTATCTGGTGAACCTCCGCCAGAAACAAGATGGATTTGGAGGGACAATATCCCGCTAACCAATACCGAACGTATCAAGATCGAAAATGTCGAGTATCATACGAATTTCTCTATCATTAATGCAATGCGCAAGGATACTGGAAAGTACACCCTCGTCGCCGAGAACGCTAACGGCAAAGATGAAGAAACTGTTGAACTCACAGTACTCGGTAAGTATGATTCAAACATTTAATTTCTGATAAATATTGATTTAATGTGGCTCTATTTAAAAGAGAAACAAAAGAGTTTCACTGTCGTGTTTAGAAGACAGGCTTAACAACAACATTTGTCTCTGTAGGAAAACCAAGCGCTCCCAAGGGACCTCTGGAAGTCAGCGATGTTACCAATACCACAGCCAAGGTGAAATGGGAAAAACCGGAGGACGACGGTGGTGTGCCGATCAAAGAATACGAGATCGAAAAGATGGACACAAAGACCGGCAAATGGGTCAGAGTGGGCAAAATACCTGGAAACTCGCCCAATACGGAATTCGAAGTAACCGGCTTGAATCCCGGAAGCGAATACAAGTTCCGTGTGACGGCTGTCAACGACGAGGGCGATTCGGAGCCTTTGGAGAGCGAGCGCGGCGTCGTTGCCAGAAATCCGTACGGTATGTTGATGTTTTACATTAAAGGATCAAGAAACAGGATCGAACAAAACTTTATAAATAAATTTATTCAACAAACTTAGCAAATTACAAATATATTTGAATAATTATTTTCCAGATGAACCTCTGAAACCTGGAACTCCCGAAATTACCGATTACGACAACGAATCCGTGAGCTTGAAATGGGCTCCGCCCGAATTCGACGGAGGAGCGCCGATCGAGAAATATATTATCGAAAAGAAAGATCGGTACAAGCCTGACTGGGAGAAGGCGATCGAAGTGCCTGGAAATCAACTTGAGGGCAAAGTACCGGATTTGAAGGAAAGGGGCGAGTACCAGTTTCGTGTCATTGCCGTGAATAAAGCTGGACCGTCGCCTCCGTCAGACGCGTCGAAGATGCAGATTTGCAAGCACAAAGCTCGTGAGTGTTTATCATAATCACAGTTTATTAATATTAACTACTTATATCTATATTCCTAAGTTGAAAAAAATATTTTTCATAATAATTACAAATCTTTTCACAAAAAAAATAACTTATGTTTAATTTAGTGAAACCGAGAATCGATAGAACGAATTTGAAACCGATCGTTGTACGAGCTGGCAAATCTGTCAAGTACGATGTGGACGTACGCGGTGAACCGCCACCAGAAATCACATGGTACCACGTCGGCAGTGAGGTGAAATCCGGTGAGAACATCGAGATCGTTAATGTTGACTACAACACCAAACTCAGCATCACCGATAGCGTGCGTAAAAACACTGGCTTGTGGAAGATCAAAGCTGTTAATCCTCATGGCGAGGACGAGGCCGAAGTCGAAATTACGATATTAGGTGAGTAGAAAAATATATATATTTTTATTTATAAATTTTCTTTTTTTAAATGGAAACTAAAATTAAAAGTTTCTCTTTCTTTGAAGTTTGAATTATAATTACTGTATTGGAAACTTCTTTTTTTCTACAATTTCACTTTTTCTTTATGTAGGGGCTCCTGGAAAACCGAAGGGACCGCTCAAAGTGACGGACGTCACGAAGAACAGTTGCAAACTCAAATGGGGCAAGCCGGAGGATGACGGCGGCAAACCGATTACCGGCTATCAAGTAGAGAAACTAGATAAATCAACCGGCAGATGGGTACCCGTTGGTCGAACCACGGATACCGAAATGGATGTAAAAGGTCTTCAAGAGGGACATGAATACGAATTTAGAGTGAAGGCTTTGAATGAAGAAGGTGAATCGGAACCGCTCGTGACAGACGGTTCCACGATTGCGAAGAATCCTTATGGTGAGTTTTAATTCTTAAAATTATATAAGTTGAAAAAACTTTGTATATTAGAAATATATTCTGTGATAATTAATTATTTTCACATTTATAATTGCAATTTTTTATTGCTAGATGTCACCAGCAAACCTGGCACACCAGAATTTGAGGACTGGGATGTTGATCGCGTTGATCTCAAATGGGAACCTCCCAAAAATACCGGCGGTGCGCCGATCACTGGCTATATCATTGAAAAGAAAGAGAAACCTTCTTCGCAATGGGAAGAAGCTCTTGTTACCGATTCGCCTCAACCGAAAGGTCGTGTCACCGGCTTGAAAAAGGGTTCCACTTATCAGTTCCGTGTTCGTGCTGTTAACAAGGCCGGACCGTCGGAGCCAAGCGACCCGACCAAACCGCACGTTGCAAAAGCAAGATTCCGTAAGTATTTCAACTTGTTAAACAATTATAATTCTCAGTATTTCCTGTTGTATATTATAAAACAATATTACAAGACAATCATATTATTTTTTATAGTTAAACCGCACATCAATCGTGACAAGCTTCAGACAATCAAAGTTAGAGCGGGTCAACTGGTGAAATTGGAGGTTGATGTCGAAGGTGAACCTCCTCCAACCGTTACATGGAGCTTTGCAGGCGCGCCTCTTAAAACCGGAGCCAACGTTAAAATCGATAATGAAGATTATCTTACCAAGATTCACTTGACGAACACCAGTCGCAAGTTAACTGGAAAATACACTATTAAGGCTGTGAACGACTCCGGAGAAGATGAGGCTGATGTAGAAATTAATATTCTCGGTAAGTAAATCAAAACACATAAGTATATTTTATTTGTTATTACATAAAATAAAAAAAATATATATGATGATCGAGTTTATACATTGTTTTGATTAATAATAATTTTACAGACAAACCTGGAAAACCGGAGGAACCGTTAGAAGTGACAGATGTGCACAAAGAGGGCTGTAAGTTGAAATGGAACAAACCAAAGGACGATGGTGGTCTTCCTCTGTCCAGCTATTTAGTAGAAAAGATGGACGTGACAACAGGTTGTTGGGTACCAGCCGGTATCGTGGATCCTGAAAAAACTGAGCACACGATTACCGGTTTGGAACCCGGCCATAAGTACGAATTCCGGGTGAAGGCTGTGAATGAGGAAGGAGAATCGGAACCTCTGCAGACCGACGCTGGCATTGTAGCCAAAAATCCATACGGTATAGCATTTCAATCTCAATGTCAATTTTTGCACACACATACAAGATTATCTATCGTTAATAAATAATTTTTACATTATTTTCTAAGTAATAATACTTTATAAAATATTATTAAGAATATTAAATATTTTAGTGAATTAGTTTATATAAGACTTTTAAATTTTATAGAAATTTTATAGAATATTTCTTAAATATTTGTTTACAGTTATTCAAGAAGAACAACATGTTCATGTAGCGCTCTTTAAAATGTTTCAGATGCTCCAGCGGCGCCTGGACTTCCAGAAATTATTGATTGGTCGGAAAATATGGTAAAACTCAAGTGGGAGCCACCGATAAGAGACGGTGGGGCACCAATTACTGGATATATCATCGAAATGAAAGACAAGTTTGGCACTAACTTTGTCAAGGCAGCTGAGGTAGAAGGGCCCATATGTACTGGCACAGTTCCGCGTTTGGAAGAAGGCAATCAGTATCAATTTAGAGTACGCGCTGTCAACAAGGCTGGTCCTGGCGAACCTAGCGAAGCCACCAATCCACACACTGCTAAAGCTCGGTGGTGTAAGTGTCTGCATCTTGTTTCACCAAAACTTATTATGACTTTTGTTAGAAAAGATAAAACATACAAAACTATCACGTTATAAAAGTTAGTTTTTTTTACAAAAGAAATATGTATTGATAAAAAAATTTATATTAGGAATTAAAAGATTTCTTTATCAATGTTGTTTTTAATTTTGCAGTGAAACCGTACATTGACCGCACGAACCTGCAACCTATAACGGTGAAGGTCGGTCTTACTGTGACTCTGGACGTGAATATAATCGGTGAACCTCCGCCAAAAGTCACTTGGATCTTTAAGGACAAAGAACTTCAATCGGACGATACGATACGAATTGACAGCGTTGACTATAATACCAAGTTCTTCATTCTAAAGACTAAACGAGCGCATACCGGCAAGTACGTGATTAAGGCGAAGAACGAGGTTGGTGAAGACACAGCCGAGGTTGAAATCACTGTTCTCGGCAAGCCCAGTAAGCCAAAGGTACATTGATTTCTTAACGTGCATGTGCGGTAATTTATTTACATTTACATTTATTTCTATTTTTGTTTTTGTTCTTCAGGGTCCACTGGAGGTGTCTGATGTTAACAAACATGGCTGTAAACTCAAATGGGACAAACCTGAAGACGACGGCGGCTCACCGGTCGAGTATTACGAGATCGAGAAGTTGGATCCTCTCACGGGACAATGGATACCCTGCGGTCGCAGTATAGAACCAGAAGCGACCATAACAGGATTACAAGAGGGCAAGCCATACAAATTCCGCGTGAAAGCTGTCAATAAAGAAGGAGAATCCGACGATTTAGAAGCGGATAAATCAATCATAGCCAAAAATCCATTTGGTATGTTTTAAGTTTGAATTTTTTTTTTTAATTAATTTAAGCGTAAATCAAGTTTTAAGAAGTAACATACTTTTTTCTTTTCAATCACCACACACGTAATTGAAATGCAATTTTTTTTTATTCTAGACGAACCGGGCAAACCTGGTCGACCGGAACTTAAGAACTGGGACAAAGACTTCGTCGATCTCGAATGGACTCCGCCGAAAGACGACGGCGGTGCGCCAATCGAGAAATACATTGTACAGATGCGGGACAAAGAAGGTAGACAGTGGATAGACGTTGCCAAAGTTCCTGGAGATCGTACGGCTGCCAAGGTAACCGACGGTATTCAAGAAGGTCACGAGTATGAGTTCAGGATTGTGGCGGTCAACAAGGCCGGACCTGGCGAGCCTAGTGACACGTCGAAGAGCGTCGTTGCCAAACCTCGATTCCGTAAGTACAATATTTTATTTGTCAATTTTAATTTAATAAAAAGTTTTAAAAAAAATATTATTATTGTAATTAATTATTACTTCAAGTTCACATATACAAGTTTTATAACACTATTTTCTCGTTTACAGTGGCGCCTCATATCGATCGCAAGAATCTGCAGAAAAAAGTCATGCGAATTGGTCAAATGCTGCGAATGGAAGCCGATATCAAGGGCGAACCGCCTCCAGTTGTCACGTGGAAACTTAAAGACGTGACGTTAAAGAGCATGGACCGTCTCAAGATCGAGAATGAGGACTACCATACTATGTTCATTCTCAACAAACTTCAACGCTCGGACACCGGCACTTATACTGTCATTGCTAAAAATGACAGCGGCACTGATCAAGTCGATGTTGAACTGCAGGTGCGGTGATTCGCTAAAATCGCTTGCATTAAAAAAATGTGTCGTTTAAAACTTAGAATTATAAAATAAGACGTTATATTATTTGTAATTGAGCGTGTTAAAATAATGATTTATTGTTATTCGGCAGGTACTGAGTAAACCAAGCAAGCCGAAAGGGCCGCTCGAAGTGTCCGATGTGACGGCCGAGGGTTGCAAACTTAAATGGGACAAACCCGACGACGACGGCGGTGAGCCGGTTGATCATTACGTTATCGAGAGAATGGACGTGGACACCGGACGTTGGGTGCCGTGCGGCACCAGCAAAACACCGGAAGCTGACGTGTCCGGATTGAACGAAGGCAAAGATTACTTATTCCGTGTCAAAGCTGTCAACTCCGAGGGCGAGTCCGAGCCTCTGGAAACATCTATTCCAACAACTGCCAAGAATCCTTACTGTAAGTATATTACTGATATTTACTATTAATTTATTTATAACTGTAAATAATAATAAGTTATAATAATTTATACACAAAAATTTCCGAATCTAATTTTTCGTTTTTAATTTTTCATTTTTATCACTTTTTTATTATTATTTATAATCGTTTCAATTTTGCTTAATTACACAGCGGAGCCCGACGCGCCCGGTAAACCCGAGTTGAAAGACTGGTCAAAGAATCATGTTGATCTGAAATGGAAAGCCCCGAAGAAGGACGGCGGTGCTCCTATCGAGAAATATATTATAGAGAAGAAAGATCAATACGGCAAGTGGCAAAAAGCCGTGGAAGTTCCAGGTAATAAGACCGAAGCCAAGGTGCCGGATCTTGTGGAGGGCCAGAAGTATCAGTTCCGCGTGAAAGCCGTGAACAAGGGTGGTCAGAGCAAGCCCAGCGAGCCAAGCGATACGTTAATCGCCAAAGATCGCTACGCCGCGCCTAAGATCGATCGTACTAATCTGAAAGACATTACAATCAAGGCCGGCAACATCATTCGGCTGGACGTCAAAGTCACGGGTGAACCGCCACCGACCAAGACCTGGTTCCTGAACAAAGCCAAGCAAGAATCCGGCAATGTTCTAACCATTGAGGTTGAAGACTACAAAACCAAGTTTGTTGTCTCTTCGGCGACCAGAGCGCACTGCGGCACTCTGACCTTGAAGGCGGAGAACAGCTCCGGTAAAGATGAGGCGTCCATTGAGATCTTGGTGCTGGACAAACCAAGCAAACCAGAAGGGCCGCTCAAGGTATCCGACGTGCACAAGGAAGGCTGCACACTTAAGTGGAACCCGCCCTTGGACGACGGCGGTGCACCTTTGGATCATTACGTGGTTGAAAAAATGGATACAGAAACTGGTAGATGGATACCGATTGGACGTACCAAAGAGCCTAATATGGCAGTAGAGAATCTTGTACCTGGTCAGGAATACAAGTTCCGAGTCGCGGCTGTGAATGCAGAGGGCGAATCCGAACCGTTAGAGACTGAACATGGAATTGTTGCCAAAAATCCGTTCGGTAAGATTTTTTTAATTTTTTGAAAAAAAAATTATTTATCTTTTATTCAATTTACAAGAATTAAAAATTTATTCCAAGTCACGTACAAAATCTATCTTTTCAACTTATACGTACGATTTTTTGCACATTTACAATTTCCACATGGTTTTGCAATTTTTATCAAATGAATAATTTTTTTCACTCTTATATTTACATCGTAGACGAACCTGGCGCACCAGGTCGTCCGGAAGCAACTGATTGGGACAAAGATCACGTGGACTTGCGATGGACTCCACCGTTGAAGGATGGCGGATCTCCAATCACCGGATACGTGATCGAGAAGCGAGAAAAGGGCGCACCCAAGTGGATCAAGGCATGCGAAACCGGACCGGATTGCAAAGGTCGTGTCGATAACCTCGACGAGGGTGTTGAATATGAGTTCAGAGTCAAAGCCGTCAACGCCGCGGGACCCGGCGAACCGTCTGATGCCAGCAAACCGATCACTGCTAAGAGTCGAAGACGTAAGTGTTGCTTACAATTTTTAATAAATATCTATTAACTAATAAATATACGAGAAATATATTTATTAACATTAATTAACTTTTGTGCACTCTTTTACAGTTCCACCAAAGATTGACAGACGAAATCTGCGTGACATAACTGTACGCGAGAACGAAGCGTTCCACTTCGATGTTAAGATCATCGGCGAGCCACCGCCAGATGTCACATGGGTGATCAACAACAAGAGCATTCAGCAAACTACACATCGCAGAATACAAAACGTACCTTATAACAGCAAGTTCTTCAACGACAAACCCGAACGCAAAGACAGCGGCACCTACAAGATCACGGCAATCAATCAGTTCGGATCTGATACTGCCGAAGTTGAAGTCACTGTTGTTTGTAAGTAATCAATTATATGTATAATTTGTAAAAAAGCACAAAAGCAAATATCTAAATATTCCAATTATTTAAATTAGCCAAACCTGGCAAGCCGGAAGGACCGCTAGAAGTATCCGACGTGCATAAAGAAGGATGTACACTCAAATGGAAGAAACCAAAAGATGATGGCGGAGAACCGATTGAAGGTTACTTAGTGGAGAAATTCGATCCGGAGACCGGTGTCTGGCTACCAGTAGGTAAAACTACTGGACCGGAGATGAAGGTCGAGGGTCTTACACCTGGACACGAATACAAGTTCCGTGTTAAGGCGCTTAACAAAGAAGGAGAGTCCGAGCCGTTGGAGACTTTCAGTTCCATCGTAGCCAAAGATCCATTCAGTAAGTTTAGAATATATTTAAAAAATTAATTAAAATAAAACTGTTATATATATTTTTTCTTTTATATAATATCTGAATTAAATAATCATTATATAATTCTGTATATTTAGTTAGAAAATAGTATTAATTGTTGATAAGTTTTATTATTCTTTTTTATTATTTTCTTAATTTTTATTTAGCTGTACCATCTGCGCCCGGAGCACCTGAGCCGGTCGATTGGACGGCCAGTCAGGTTGAACTCACGTGGAAAGAACCCGTTAGCGATGGTGGTTCGCCCATTACGAGCTACATCGTTGAGAAGAAGGACAAATACAGCACCATGTGGGAGAAAGCTTTGGAGACCGAAACACCGGTCACCAAAGCTCTGGTGCACGGTTTAATAGAAGGCAATGATTATCAATTCCGTGTAATTGCCGTAAACAAAGCCGGTCAATCGGAGCCGGGTGAAGCCAGCAAGACGTTCACGGCTAAGCCACGCTTCTGTAAGTACCTACTCTTTTTTGATACTATCACTTAATAATAGACATACGTGTTATAAAATTAATTTCATGAACGATTGATCTATAGACAGCATCCTTGTATCGTTGCCACGGAATGTACGCACGTTCCAAAAATAGATCTATTAAATCGTTCGCTTGTCTAAATCTGATATTGGCATTTTAATCATGATCGTCTAATTATTTCTTTCAGTGGCCCCGAAGATCGATAGGCGCAATCTGAGGGACGTCACCCTGTCCGCTGGCTCGATGCTCAAGTTCGACGCCAACGTGATAGGCGAACCGCCGCCGCACATCGAGTGGCGTTACGGCGCGATACCGCTGCATTCCGATCGCAAGACACAAATCGACAACAGCGATTACAACACAAAGTTCAGCATACGGCCAGTGTCGCGAGACGACAGTGGCGATTATACTGTCACTGCGAGTAACTCGTCAGGCAAGGACTCGGTTACGGTGCAGGTGACGGTGACAGACAAGCCGACACCGCCCGAGGGACCGCTTCAGGTGTCGGACGTGCACAAAGAGGGATGCAAACTTAAGTGGAAGAGACCCAAAGACGACGGTGGCACACCTATCGAATATTACCAGGTGGATAAAATGGACCCGGAAACTGGATGCTGGGTACCTTGCGGACGTTCCACCGAACCGAGTAAGTGATCGTTGGAATTAACTACCATAATTGATAATGTGAGATTGCTGATACATAGTTGCGACGTGCAAGTTTAATTTTAAAAAAAGCAATAATAATAACAATAAATACTTTTAAAAGTTAAAAAAAATATTAAATTGTTTACAGATCTCGAGGTGACAGGTTTAACTCCAGGCAAGGAATATCTCTTCCGTGTATCCGCGGTCAATGCTGAAGGCGAATCAAAGCCTTTGGAAGCGGAACAAGCGATATTAGCTAAGAATCCATTCGGTATGCAAACAAAACTCATTTTAAGAAATTTAGAAAAATGTAAAATTCGTTATCACCTTCGTAGTTACATATATATCAGTAGTTATCAGACATTATTTTATTTTTAATTTGAGAGAAAGTTAGAGAAATAAAAATCAATTTTTCTCTCAGACGAGCCAGGCAAGCCGGGTGATCTCCAAGCTACAGATTGGGACAAAGATCATGTCGATCTCAAATGGACTCCACCGGAAAAGGACGGTGGTTCACCGATCACTGGTTACATAATCGAAAAGAAAGACAAGTACGGCGAATGGGAAAAGGCGCTGGAAGTGCCCGCAGATGAAACCTCCGCTACCGTGCCCGATTTGATCGAGGGCCAGCCGTACGAGTTCCGCGTGCGAGCCGTGAACAAAGCTGGTCCCGGCGAGCCGTCAGACGCCACACCGACTATCATCGCGAAACCGCGCAATCAAGCGCCTAGAATCGATCGTACGAACCTGATCGAAGTGAGAATCAAGGCCGGCCAGAACTTCAACTTTGACTGCAAAGTGACGGGCGAACCGCCACCGACCACCAAATGGATGCTGAACGGCAAGGAGGTCCGTCCTACCGATCGTATCAAGGTCAAGCATGTGGACTACAACACCAGTCTGAGCGTGCGGATGGCCACCAGATCGGAATCCGGCAAGTACACCGTAATCGCGGAGAACATCAACGGCCGGGACGAGGCATTTGTCAAGGTCACTGTACTCGATAAGCCGAGCCCGCCTCAAGGTCCGCTACGCGTGTCCGATGTTCACGCCGAGGGTTGCAAGCTCTCGTGGAAGCCACCCGAGGATGATGGTGGGCAACCAGTGGAAAAATACGTTGTGGAGAAGATGGACGAAGCTACGGGTCGCTGGGTACCGGCCGGAGAAACCGATGGTCCAGAAACGAACTTGCAGGTGGAAGGCTTGACGCCTGGACACAAGTACAAGTTCAGAGTTAGAGCTGTCAACAAACAGGGCAAGTCCGAGCCGCTCACTTGCATGCAGAGTATCGAGGCGAAGAATCCTTTCGGTAAGAAAATAATGTTTATTAGAATAATGTATTTCTACATGTTGAATATATTGTTAGTAGTTTTAGATATATTATGTATTTAAAATAGTTTTGTGAACTCTTATAATAAATGTTGATGCATCTTTTATAGACGAACCAGGAAAACCGGGTACGCCCGAGGTGGTTGATTACGATACGGACTTTGTTGAACTTCAATGGAAGCGTCCTGAAGAAGACGGAGGATCACCGATCACGGGTTACATTATTGAAAAGCGCGATAAATATAATCCGACATGGGAAAAATGTGCTGAGGTAGATGGCGATACAAACCGCGGCAAAGTTAACGATTTGGTCGAAGGAACTCAATACGAATTCCGCGTGAGGGCCGTAAACAAGGCTGGTCCTGGTGAACCTTCGGAAGCGTCCAAATCTCATCTGGCGCGTCCAAAGAATCTTCCACCGAAGATCGACAGGAAGTATATGCTGGACGTGAAGGTGCGCGCTGGCAGTTTCTTCGACTTCGACGTGCCGGTGATCGGTGAGCCGCCTCCGAGCAAAGTATGGTCGTTGAAAGACGTTACAGTTATGGCAAGTGATCGCATAAAGATTACCACCGAAGATTATAACATCAAAGTTCGCGTGATGGAAGCGAAACGTTCCGATTCTGGCGTTTACACATTAGAAGCCAGAAATGTGAACGGCAAGGATTCCGCCACGTTGACCGTGAACGTGCTGGACGTGCCTTCACCGCCAGAGGGCCCGTTGAAAATTGACAATATTACCAAGAGCGGTTGTAATCTAAAGTGGCGTCCGCCCAAAGACGACGGCGGTTCCGAGATCCAATATTACCAGGTCGAGAAGATGGACACAGAGAACATGCGCTGGGTGCCTGTGGCCGAAGCAACCACCACATACGCGCGAGTGGATCATCTGATAGAGGGTCACGACTATCAGTTCCGCGTGCGCGCGGTTAACAAGCAAGGCGAGTCACAACCGTTGGCGGGAATGGACACCATCACTGCCAAAGATCCGTTCGCCAAGCCGGACAAACCCGGAACGCCAGTGGCCACCGACTGGGACAAAGATCACGTGGATCTTGAATGGACACCACCCAAGAAAGACGGCGGATCGCCCATAACTGGCTACATCATTGAAAAACGGCCACGTTTCGGACAGTGGGAGAAAGCCGCCGAGGTACCTGGAGATAAGACTAGCGCCAGAGTGCCAGATCTGACCGAGGGTCAGGAATACGAGTTCAGAGTCATTGCCGTGAACAAAGGCGGACCTGGTGAACCGTCCGACGCGTCGGCGCCGGTGGTTGCCAAACCACGCTTTAGTGAGTTTAGAATTTAATTCGAATTAGATAATAAGTCTGTTGATCAGTCACTAAAAAAAACTTTCTAGATCAAAACAATTAGAATTTGTCAATATTTTTTCAAAAAGAAAATTTTAACAATGTGCTCTTACTTTATTCACGACTGTTTATAATTAATTGCAGTTGCTCCTTCGTTCGACACGCACTTGCTCAACGACTTGGTGGTGCGCGCCGGTCAGAAGATCAGCTACAACATTCCCATCGTGGCGTCGCCCAAACCAAAGGCAACGTGGACTCGCGATGGAGTTGAAATTGTGGCCGATGCTCGTCACGAGATGTACACTACCAGTACCGAGACATCTTTCGAGATTCCATTCTCCGTGCGCGGTGATACTGGACGTTACACTTTGAATTTGGAAAACGAGCATGGCACTTTCAGGTAATTATATAAAATATAAATAAACAATACATATGGCGATTTGATATCTTACATTTAAATTATCGCCAATTTCTTTCTCTTCTTACATCAACTATCGACTGAACGAAAACGATGACGTAAATTTTTTGCAGTGCCAGCGCGAGAGTTACTGTCCTAGACAGACCGGCGCCACCGGAGAAACCTCTGGAAGTCAGCAATGTCACTAAGGAAGGTTGCCACTTGACCTGGAATCATCCGCTCGATGACGGCGGCAGTCCAATTCTGCACTACGTCATCGAGAAAATGGATCTGTCTCGCGGAACTTGGTCCGACGCCGGTATGAGCATGGTGCTGAGTCACGAGGTCAGTCGTTTAACACATCGCAAGGAGTATCTGTTCCGCGTCAAGGCGGTAAACAACATCGGAGAGTCCGATCCGCTCGAAACTACGAAGAGCATTATTGCGAAGAATGAGTTTGGTGAGTTATCAAACAAAATTTCAAATTTACATAAAAGTGACGTTAACATTTTTCGAAAATTGTTTTAAATTTATCTGGAAGTTAACAACTATGTTTTTTTTTTCTTACAAGAACTGTTATTTATCATTTTTGTATTTCTGTAATTTTTAGATGAGCCAGACGCGCCCGGTAAACCACAGATTACGGACTGGGACAAGGATCATGTGGATCTGGAATGGCCGGCGCCAAAGAACGACGGCGGATCACCGATCACAGGCTACATCGTTCAGAAGAAAGAGAAGGGCAGTCCTTATTGGGTGAATGCTGTTCACGTTCCAAAAGGTCAGACGAGCACAACTGTTCCGGATCTGACGGAAGGTCAAGAATACGAGTTCCGTGTGATCGCTGTCAATGCCGCCGGTCAATCCGAGCCGTCAGAACCCAGCGATCTGGTCACTGCCAAACCTCGTTATCGTAAGTTTTTTTTTTTTTTTTAAATAAAATTAGATTACAAAAAATTGTAACAAATAAATAATTTTGTTTGGGTTTGTCTTTAGTGGCTCCGAAGATCAAGACGCCCTTACAAGATGTACGCATCAAGGCCGGACTTATATTCCACGTGGATATTGACTTCGTCGGCGAACCAACGCCAGAGGTGACCTGGAGCGTGGGAAGCAACGAGTTGACTTCCAACGACAGAACGACGATCACGTCGATCGGTTACCACACGATCGTGCACATAGTTAATGCTAAGAGGTCCGATTCGGGACTGTACCACCTGTTGCTGAAGAACAGCAGCGGCATAGACGAGGGCAGTTTCCAAATGACAGTTCTGGACAAACCTGGACCTCCAGAAGGTCCTTTGCAGTACGAAGAAATCACCAGCCAATCTGTCACGCTCTCGTGGAAGCCACCGAAGGATAATGGCGGAAGCGAGCTTACGTAAGTAAATTTTTAAAATACACAAATAAGATGTATATATTTTTTTCTAAAACAAAAATTTTTAAAGATAAAACTTTCTTAATACAAAACAATATTTACATACAATTATTAAAAAATTATTTTTCAAATATATTTTTTTCTATTTTGTGTATAGTGGATACATTATTGAAAAGCGCGATCTCACACACGGTGGCGGCTGGGTACCAGCTGTTACACACGTTAATCCCAAGTATAATCACGCAACTGTGCCGAGACTCCTCGAAGGAACTACGTACGAATTCCGCGTGTCCGCAGAAAATCTTCAGGGACGCTCCGAGCCGCTGACCACTGACCGATCTGTCGTTGCCAAGAATCAATTCGGTAAGTATTTTTTTCAATAAAATTACTGAACGTGTAATTACACATTACATGAATTTACAAATGCGAATCTCTCTATATTTTTCCTGCAAATAAATGTAAATTTTTCCTAACTTGTTTTCGCGAAATGCACGTTTTTGATATCTGTTATCCAGTGGTGCCCGGACAACCCGGCAAGCCAGAATGCGTCGACGCCGACAAGGATCACATCAAGATCAAATGGACTCCGCCGATCAGCAACGGAGGCTCTAAAATTATCGGCTACGACGTGGAACGTCGCGATCGCGCCACCGGTCGCTGGATAAAACAGAACAAGGAACCTGTCAGATACCCCGAATATTACGACGATCATGTAACGGAAGGTCACCAGTACGAATATCGCGTGTCGGCTATAAATGCCGCCGGTGCTGGAAAACCGAGCGAAACTTCGTCCGTGTTCACGGCCAAACCAATGAAGGAGAAGCCTAAACTCCATTTGGACGCTTTAATCGGTCGCAAGATCAAAGTCCGTGCCGGAGAACCGATTAATGTCAACATTCCGTTGTCTGGCGCGCCTACACCAAAGATCGAATGGACGAAGGATGGAAAATCACTCACGGAGACTCTTCGGCTATCCGTAAGTTTGCGTCTTCTGATGTCTGTATCTACTTAAAAAAATACATTGTTTATATATGTTTTTTTTTTTTACAGACCGAAACCAAGAGCGATCGAACGCAGCTGCTGATCGAGAAATCCGTAAGAGATGACAGCGGTATGTACACCATTACCGCGTCCAACGAGCACGGAAAGGATTCCGCTGACATCGAGGTGATAGTCGTGGACAAACCTGGACCGCCTCAAGGTCCTCTGCAATACACCGGCACCACGCAGGAAACCGTTGGATTGTCCTGGAATCCACCGTTGGACAATGGCGGATCCGATATCACGAATTATATCGTCGAAGTTTCGGATTACGGATCCGACAATTGGCGACAAGTGCCAGGATACGTTCCCAGGACAAACTTCACGGCGAGGGGACTGACCGAAGGCAAGAAGTACGTCTTCAGGGTTCGCGCCGAGAATATGTACGGAGTATCGGAGCCTTTGGAAGGCAAACCCGTGATCGCCAAGAGTCCTTACGATCCACCGGACGCGCCGAGCCAGCCCGAAATTCTCGGCTACACTCCCAACAGCTGCAGTCTCACATGGAATCCGCCTATCAACACCGGCGGGAAACCTATCACTGGTATATAAATCTAAATAAATATTTTTACAATTCTATTTCATATTTTTATAGAAACTTACAAAACTTGATTACAGAAAGTTTAAAATGTGTTATTTTTAGGTTTTTTTTTTATTCACACATAAAAATGTTTTAAACAAGACCTGTATTATTTTATCTTCTTTATTATTAGGTTATTACGTGGAAAGGCGTGAGCGTGGCGGCGAATGGTTGAAGGTCAACAACTATCCGACACCGAATACGACATTCACTGTGCAAGATCTTCATGAGGGGTCACGATACGAATTCCGGGTTATCGCTGTCAATGAGGCCGGACCTGGTAAACCTAGCAAACCTACCGAACCTATCACAGCCGGACATCAACGTCGTAAGTTTATTTTAATCAATATTATATTACCGTATAACGCTAATAATAAAAGCAATCTGATTGTAAACGTATCAAAAGGTCATTGTTTGAGTTTTGCATTATCATTATTTTATAGTTCGTCCTGACGCACCTGAACCACCTAAGGCGGACAGAATCACCAAAGACTCGGTAACCCTGAGCTGGCGTCCACCGCGAAGCGACGGCGGCGCGAAGATCAGAGGCTACATTATTCAGAAGAAAGCCAAGGGTGATGACAATTGGTCAGATGTGAACGGCTCGCCCGTACCGAGCAACGTGTATACCGTGCCGAAACTGAAAGAAGGCGAGGAGTATCTCTTCAGGGTTATTGCGGTGAACGACGTTGGTAACAGCGACCCGAGCCGAGCCAGCAATCCCATCATCATCGAGGAGCAACCGAATAAACCGGTTATGGACCTCGGCGGAGTTCGCGACATTACCGTGCGCGCTGGCGAGGACTTCTCCATTCATGTGCCTTACGTCGGCTTCCCCAAACCGACTGCCACGTGGTTTGCCAACGACGTTGTCAAGGATGAAACCGATTCGCGTGTGCATCAACAACTGGCCGATGATTTTGCCAGGTATATTGTTTAGAAAAACTTTTCAATTACAAATAGAAATAATGACAGTGCACGTCATGATACTAATTGAATTTCTTTAACTACAGCTTGGTAGTTAAGAATGCAAAACGTTCCGATGGAGGTCAGTACAGACTTCAACTGCGTAATTCGTCCGGCTTCGACACGGCGACCGTCAACGTCAAGGTACTCGATCGTCCCGCTCCACCTGAAAATCTTCGCGCGGACGAATTTGCCGGCGATGCTCTTACTCTCTTCTGGAATCCGCCCAAGGATAACGGCGGTGCCGATATTACCAATTACGTGATCGAGAAGAAGGAACCAAGGTCCGCAACGTGGTCTAAGGTGAGAGTCTATGTCGCAATAAAATTGTTTAGAGGATATTCTATTTTTTTATTAAAAAGATATTAGTATCTAAAGAGAGAGAAAAACTTTTGCAGGTGAGCAGCTATGTGACAACGCCATTTGTGCGCGTGAGAAATCTGACGGTCGGTCAGGTCTACGAATTCCGAGTGATGGCTGAGAATCAATACGGCACGTCGGATCCTGCAACAACGATCGATCCGATCAAGGCGAGATATCCGTTTGATCCTCCAGGCGCGCCAGGTACACCTCGCGGTGTGGAAACCACCGAGGACAGCATTACCATCACGTGGACCAAACCGCGTCACGATGGCGGCTCGCCGATCATCGGATACGTCATTGAGAAGCGTCTTCTGAGCGAGGACAAGTGGGTCAAGGCCACTCCAGCTCTGGTGCACGATACTACTTACAAGTAAGTATGATCCGTGTCGATTTCTTGAGTTAACGTCTATAATGTTTCCGGCATTTGCTAATTCTATTCGTCGATCTCTTAGAATCACAGGACTGATCGAGAATCACGATTACGAGTTCCGCGTAGCTGCGGAAAATGCCGCCGGTCGTGGACCATGGAGCTCCAACTCCGACATTATTCGCGCCAGTGCGCCACCATGTAAGTAATTTCACAAAACATCATGTGTATCTTACATTACGCAATTTAGAGAAAAAGAAAGACGGAGAGATAACGCTTTTAATCACAAGTAATAAAAAAATATAGCGTTTTTAGTCTTCTTTTTCCGGATGCGGTTCAACATATCGATTGTCTTTGTTGCAGTCCCGCCTAAGATTACGAGCGACCTCAGCATCCGCGATATGACTGTGATCGCCGGCGAACCGTTCACCATCACGGTTCCGTATCAAGCTAATCCCAAGCCGAAACCAAACTGGTCCATCAATGGCGAAGAAGTTCTCACCGATGATAGGATCAAATTCGAGACGACCGACGTTGCGTCGCAGTTTATTAACAAAAAAGCGAAGAGGTCAGACACCGGCACGTACACGATATATCTCACGAACACCGTTGGCACAGACTCCGCTTCGTGCAGAGTCCTCGTTGTCGGTAAGTTTTTTTACTACGTTGGTAATTTAATTCTTGATCTCGATCTTTTTTCTCAAGTACGCAATTCTAATTTGTAATAAACGCCATTGTCAATTAAAATTAAATGTTAAATTTCTTTCAGACAAACCGTCCCCGCCTCTGGCACCTCTAGATATCTCCGACATCACTCCCGAGACCTGTACGTTGTCGTGGAAACCACCCTTCGACGATGGCGGCTCACCTATTACGAATTACATCGTCGAGAAATTAGATCCGGCCGGCGTAAGTATATTTCTCTAAGGGATTCTTAGCTATCGCAAATGAATTTGCTTTTCTCTCCGATCTGAACAAAATTGTTTTTATTCATACTCTTCGCGAATTTTTTTTCCAGTTCTGGGTGAAGCTCAGTAGCTTCGTGAGAAACACACATTACGACGTGATCGGTCTGGAACCGAATCGCACGTACAACTTCCGCGTAAGAGCGGAGAATCAGTACGGCGTGTCGGACCCATTGCAGGCTGACGAACCGATAACGGCCAAGTTCCCATTCACGGTGCCAGATCCACCTGGACAGCCGCGTGTTATCGATTGGGACACCTCGAACGCCACGGTTGTCTGGACGAGACCATTGTCCGATGGTGGATCTCGTATTCAGGTTCGTATCACGAAAAGAGAAAATATTGAAATTTCATTGAATATTTTTCAGTTACATATGTAAATTTTTCAAGCTATGGCGTTTTCGAGCGACCTTGTCTTTGCATTTAGTTTTATATTGATTTGAATTACACTTTTCACGCGAAATTTTCAACTACACACAGGGTTACAAGATCGAGTTCCGCGACCCTGCCGAGGACGTGCAATGGCGCGTGGCGAACGATTACCTCTTCAAGGACACAACGTACGTGTGTTACGGTCTGCAAAGCGGTCACGAGTACGAGTTTAGAATACGCGCCAAGAACGCGGCCGGCTTCAGTAAACCGAGCCCGCCGTCTTCGCCGTTCAGAATCAAGAGTAAGTTTAACGTGCCGTCGCCACCGGGCACGCCGCAAGTTATCAAAGTCGGTAAGAATTACGTCGATCTACGATGGGAACCGCCCGTATCCGACGGCGGCAGCAAGATCACCGGCTACGTGATCGAGAAGCGCGAGGTCGGAAGCGCGATGTGGTCCAAGTGCAACGAGTACAACGTCGTCGACACCGAATACACGGTCATGCATCTGATCGAGCGTGGAGATTACGAGTTCAGAGTGTTCGCGGTGAACGCCGCCGGCAGATCCGAACCGAGCTCGTGCACCACGCCGGTGAAGATTTGCGAGGTCGAGGGAGGCGAAAAGCCGGAATTCATCAGAAATCTTCCGATCAGTCAGATTATACCACTTGGCAAGACCCTCGTTCTCGAGTGCGAGGCCACGGGTAAACCTCTGCCGACCGCCAGGTAAATTTATTTATTTATTTTGTTTAAGATTAATTGTATTATATATTTTATCACATAAGAAGTTTTACGATTACGATTTTGATTTGTTCAGGTGGCTGAAGAACGGTCGCGAGATCACCTTAGGCGGTCGATTCCGCGCCGAGTCGATAAACGGCATCTACAGGCTGGTAATCTCCGAGGTATGGGACGCGGACGACGGTGACTACAGCTGTCAGATCTCGAACCCACTCGGTATTGCTACGACCACGTGCAGACTGAAGATCGGCACGCCACCGCGCATCGAACGTATGCCGGGCGATCTCTATCTGCCGGAGGGTGACAACACGAAGATCAAGATTTATTACAGCGGTGATCAGCCAATGGAAGTGACCCTGAAGAAAGATGGTCGTAAGATTGTGGAGACTACGCATATTAAATACACGGTCTTCGATGAGTATCTCATCATCTTCATCAAAGACATTCAGAAGGATGACGGCGGTACTTACGACTTGTCCATCTCGAACGATAGCGGCAGTGTCAGCGCCTCGTTCACCGTATACATCACCGGATTACCTGGACCTCCAACCGGACCACTCGATGTCTCTGACATCGACAAGCACACCTGCACTCTATCCTGGCATCCGCCCAAGTACGACGGTGGTCTCCGGGTGACCCATTACGTGGTGGAGCGTCGCGATGTCAGTCACACGCACTGGATCATCGTGTCGTCCTTCTGCAAAGACACTACGTTCGTCGTGCAAGGTCTCACCGAGGGTCAAGAGTATCTTTTCAGGGTGATGGCTGCCAACGACAACGGCATGGGCCCGCCATTGGAAGGTACCAACCCGATCAAGGCCAAAGCGCCGTTCGACCCGCCAGGACCACCCGGCACGCCCAAGGTCATCGAGGTGGGCGGAGATTTCGTCAATCTCTCGTGGGAAAAACCAGAGACAGATGGTGGCGCGAGAATTCAAGGTTACTGGATCGACAAGAGAGAAGTCAACAGTCAGGCTTGGCAGCGCGTTAACGTTAGCATTTGTCTGCCGACGCAAATCAACATTAGCAATCTTATCGAGGGAAGGCAATACGAGTTCCGAGTGTTCGCACAAAACGTAGCCGGACTCAGTCCCGAGTCCAAGGCCTCAACATCCGTAAAGATCGTCGATCCGCAGGCAGCGAAGCCTCCAGAAATTATCTCACCACTTCAGAGGGTTTGTATATACATTTGTTTTTGTTATTGAAAAGCTCAGAATTTTGGTGACCTATTTAAGTTTCTCTTCTACATGTTTTTCCTCACAGGTGAACTGCGTCCAGAATCACAATGCTCACTTCCAATGCAAGATTATTGGCACTCCGAAGCCTACCATCACGTGGTTCAAGGGCGCTCGCGAGATCGTGAGCGGTAGCCGGTACAACATCTACTCCGAGGGCGACACTCATAATCTCATCATTCACGACGTGTTCGGCGAGGACGCCGACGAGTACTTCTGTCGCGCGGTGAACAAGTGCGGCGTGAAATCCACGAAGGGCGAGCTCTTCATCAAGACACCGCCGAAGTTGAACGTGCCGCCGCGATTCCGCGACACCGCCTTCTTCGACAAGGGCGTGAACGTCGTTATCAAGATCCCGTTCACCGGTTATCCGAAACCAAAGATTACGTGGGTGCGCGAGGGCGAGGTGATCGAGTCCGGCGGTCATTACGCCGTCGAAGTGAAGGAACGTCACGCCGTGCTGACGATCCGCGACGGCAGCCGCATCGACTCAGGTCCGTACCGCATCACAGCCGAGAACGATCTCGGCCAGGACACGGCCATCATCAAGATTCAGATCAGCGACCGTCCGGATCCGCCGAGATTCCCGCAGGTGGATAACGTCGGCCACGACTCGCTCGCGGTCAGCTGGAAACCACCGGTTTGGGACGGCGGCAGCAACATCACCAATTACGTGGTGGAGAAGCGCGAGCATCCGATGAGCAGCTGGATACGAGCGGGCAACACCAGGTTCTGCACGCTCGCGGTAACCGGTCTCAGTCCGGGACACCAATATGACTTCCGAGTGTGCGCGGAGAACATCTACGGCCGATCCGATCCGAGCGAGGTGACGCCGCTGATCACCACGAAGGGCATTATCAAGCGCGAGTACAAGAAGAAGGAATACGAGGTGGACGCGACCGGCAAGAAGATACGCGGCCGCGAAGACGAGAAACCGCACGATTACGATCAGTTCGTGTTCGACGTCTACAGCAAATATGTGCCGCAGCCGGTGGAGATCAAGCACACGTCGGTCTATGACAAGTACGACATCCTTGAGGAGATCGGCACCGGCGCGTTCGGCGTCGTGCATCGTTGCCGCGAGAGAGCCACCGGCAACATTTTCGCCGCCAAATTCATCCCGGTGTCGCACGTGATGGAAAAAGAATTGATCAGAAAAGAGATCGATATCATGAATCAGTTGCACCATCCCAAGTTGATCAATCTGCACGACGCGTTTGAGGACGACGACGAGATGGTGTTGATCTTTGAGTTGTAAGTATTTATTTCGCATCAGAGAGAATTCATCAGCCGAGCGATTTCAACAACCAATTGTGACTCGTTTTACGGATTTGCGTTATCCTTGATCTCCTTCATTTGTCTTATTAGCCTGTCCGGTGGTGAGCTGTTCGAGAGGATCACCTCCGAAGGTTACACCATGTCCGAGGCCGAAGTCATCAATTACATGAGACAGATCTGCGAAGGAGTCAAGCATATGCACGAGAAGAACATCATTCATCTCGGTATTATCTTAAAATTCTTATACTTTTATTACATATATATATATAATTATGTAATGCAACACTGTTTTTTTTTTCAGACATCAAACCTGAAAACATTATGTGTCAAACTCGCAACAGTACCAATGTGAAATTGATTGATTTCGGTCTGGCGACCAAACTCGATCCGAATGAAGTGGTAAAGATCAGCACAGGCACGGCCGAGTTTGCTGCTCCCGAGATCGTCGAACGAGAACCGGTCGGTTTCTACACCGACATGTGGGCCTGCGGTGTACTGGCTTATGTTTTGTAAGCAGATTACTTGTATCTTGTACGCGGCCAGATTATTCCATGTGATTCTTACTATCTTTGTTTACTGAGCCAGGTTGAGCGGGCTTTCTCCGTTCGCGGGCGATAACGACATCGAGACCTTGAAGAACGTAAAGGCGTGCGACTGGGACTTCGACGAGGAGGCATTCCGTAACGTTTCCGAGGAGGGCAAAGATTTCATCAGGCGGCTACTCGTCAAGAACAAGGAGTACGTTACAGATATTTTTCCCCATTGCTTTCTACATGATTACTTCGTTATCATCTTATTTACTGCTACTGTGTGATTCTTGCCACCTTTCAGAAAGCGCATGACCGCACACGAGTGCCTCCTTCATCCGTGGTTAACCGGCGATCACAGCAAATGGACCAACCCGATCGCCAGCAGCCGTTACCTCAGCATCAGAGACAGACTGCGCGCCAAGTACGAGAACTGGGACAAGTACGTTCTTCCCATCGGCCGCCTAGCCGAGTACTCGTCGCTCAGAAAGCTTCTAATCGAGAAATACAGAATATACGACTCTTGCTTCGGTGAGTGACTGAATGAACAGTATCGAGTTTTCTCAAACGCCAAGCGATCTTAGCAAAGTTTAAATACAAAAGTGTTTTTCTGATTTCTTCACAAAAAAAGTATGTGAAAAGAAGAAAATGTTCTTAAATAAAAACGAATTTCCGCATTTTTGCGCAGATCGCCGACAAGCCGCGCCAAGATTTGTCATCAAACCGCAAAGCGCGTTCGCGTACGAGGGACAGAGCGTTAAGTTCACTTGTCGCGTTATCGCAATCGCGGCGCCCACCTTGTCTTGGTCGCACAACAATCAGGAATTGCGACAGTCCGTCAAATTCATGAAACGATATCACGGTGACGATTACACCTTCATTATCAACAGAGTTAAATTGGAAGACAGAGGAGAGTATGTCATACGCGCGGAGAATCATTACGGTTATCGCGAGGAAGTTGTCTTCCTCAATGTACAACGTGAGTATTGTTTACATGTATTTTTTAGCGCCTGTATTTTAATTATAATCATTTATTGCGAGACAAACTCCAAGTGCCTCGGTAGCCTAACAGAGAAGGCGACGGCCCGGAAAGCCGGAGATTCCAGGTTCAATTCCTGGATGAGGAGTTTTTTTCGCAATATTTTAAAATTAGTTAGGGGAGTATACGGGGTCCTTCATATATATGTGATGCAAATCCAGCATCCTATATAGAGGAAAAAAATTATTTTGAAATATATATGTGCATACATATATATATATATATACACATATATATTTAAGCACATTCACGCACAACATCCTGCGAACGGCTCTTCATGTCCTTATATTTATATATTATAATCATTTAATTTGTGCGGTATACAACACAATTTACTAATATGTATATTTTTATTTATGTGTGTTGTAAAAAAATTTCATATTTTACAGCAAAATTTGCAAAAAATTTTCTAATCTTTTGTTATTTTTTATTCTCAGCACTGCCGAAAGAAATTCCGAAGTACAGACCCGAGTTGCATCCGGTGCGCAGACGGGAACCGCTCGGTTATAATGTGTGGCTCGAGATGATCGAGTCAGCGCCGAGCTTCACCTTCCTGCTACGACCCCGTGTCATTCAGATCAGACAGACCTGCAAGTTGCTGTGCTGCTTGAGCGGCAATCCACCGCCCACGGTGAAATGGTACAAGGACAGAGAGGAGTTGTCCAAGTACAACTATCCTATGACCAACGCCGACGGCGTTGTCACGATGGAGATCATCGACTGCAAGCCGGAGGACAGCGGCAAATATCGCTGCGTCGCTAGCAACAAGCACGGCAAAGACGAGACCAGTTGTGTGGTTATCGTTGAAGGTACGCGAAAATAAATGCGATAAAAGACAAAACTAATATACTTTTTCGAATCTCTTCTTATGATTCTGCTCTGCCATAAGACTGATAATACGTTAATATACTTTGTACGTAGAACTTGTAGTTGAAAAACAAATTTCATTAAACGTTTGTTCGTAGGCACTGGGGAAACGGAGGAACAAGTAAAATTAGCACACGATTTCCTGCATTCCGGAGGTAGAGCCGTTTAAGGAGCTTACCCCCGTTTGCCGTTTTTATAAAAAGCTTATTATCCTCATTCCCGTTGTTGTCACAAGCAATGTGCTTGTACTTAGATCAGCGCAAATAACTATCGTTTTATTAAAAAATATTTTGTTCCCTTTAGTCATTGCACACCCTGTTTAGATTCTCTCACGTCCCGTATACTTCATATTTAGAATTAACTCTCTCGTTTACAGTCCACTAATTTATGTTGTCCGCAGCGAAACGCAAAAATTTCGTAAATCCTTTGTTTTCAAATGTTGATGTTGTCAAGTTGTAAAAAAAAACGAATATATTGTAATAATCGAGTGATTTCATGACAAATCTGATTTTAAGATCGAAGGTACATCGAGCAACCGTTGAAACCGGCGCCACCACCGATCGTGACAGTTCACAAGTCCAGTGGTTACAGCGGCTACAGTTCAACCACCATTCAAGGTCAATCGAGTTTCACCTCTTCCTACGGTGGCAAACAAACTTCCACGACCTCTTCGTACAAAGTACGAAAAACATGATCTAATAATACTTCTGGATTAAAAATTACTGTTTGTATGTATAAAAATTCATAACGGATTACTAAAAACATTCTTTGACGTAAATAACTTCAGGATAGCTCCAGCGTTAAGATCAACGAATCGTCTGACAAACGAAGCGTGAAGAAATACGGCTCGAGACTCGACAGCACCGGTAGCCCATCTCGATCCAGAAGCACCACAAAAGAACTCATTCGTTAGTATATCATTTTAATATCTACACACATAAATATGCATCTCAAATTATTAGAGTATCGTCACGTTTAATCTTGTATACGAGGATGTTCATATTCAATTTTATATATTATTATACAATATTTGACTATTGCAGAACCTTCGGACGACTCGATGAGACCGCCGCAGTTCACTCAGAAACTAAAAAATCTCACGATCAACGATGGCGAACACTTGGAACTCACTGTCAAAGTCAACGGCGATCCAGAACCGCAAATAGCTTGGAGCAAAGACGGCAAAGTAGGGGCCATCTTAAACAATTAAAGCTAATATTTGCGATAATTTAATTTTTAAAAATCACACAAATTTATTTACAGAAAAACATCTGCAAAAATGGATTTTTAACGTTTTTATGTATTATAGGAGAACTATTTTTGTGTAAACTATGTGTATGTGTGTGTGTGTGTGTGTGCGCGCGATAAAATTCACTTTTTGCAGACCTTGAGTTCGTCGGAGGTCGTCGATCTCAAATATAAAAACGGAGTGGCCACTCTCACGATAAATGAAGTATTCCCCGAGGATGAGGGCGAGTACAAGTGTGTGGCGACCAATAGCATCGGTAGCGACACGACATCCTGCAAACTGACTGTAAAACGTAAGAACGTTCAAAATTTTCATCGTCACGTTTAATCGACATATAACTTAGAGAGATAACAAATTGTTGTCAAAAAAAAAAGTAACTGTCGCAAATTTTTGAATTTGAAAAGAAGCGCGTAAAGCGACATTTTACCTTTTTTAGCTGTGGAAAACACTGCCGGGAAGAAACAGAGCGACGACAAATCGCCGAAGATCGTAGACCATCTGACGAGCATGTACGTGAAGGACGGCGAGTCTGTGACGCTCAGCTGCCGAATAATCGGCGCCAAGAAGTTCGACGTGGTGTGGTTGCACAACAACAAGGAGATCAAGCCCAGCAAAGACTTCCAGTACACCAGCGAGGCTAACATCTACAAACTCGTTATCGCCGAGATATTCCCCGAGGATTCCGGCACTTACACGTGCGAAGCTTTCAACGACGCAGGAGAGAGCTACTCGTCGTGCACATTAAATGTACTCGGTAAGTCAGCAAGTATGCGATTAGTCAGCAATTGTAGCTTTTTAATTTTCTTTTTTTTGTTTTAACTCCATACTCTATCTGTTCGTTACTTTCAGCTCCGGGTGAAGAACCGAAGAGTCCAGCGTTCGCGACATTCCCGCAATCTGCAACAGTGAGCGAAGGCGAGTCGGTGACTTTCACGTGCAAGACTGATACCGCGCCTTTGAAAGGTGAGAGAGAGACTTTACTTTCGTATACAATTCCCTTCTATTTCCACTTATCTATCTAATATACTAAGTGTATATTTTTTTCTAATTACTATTACCGTTTTATTTTATTTTATTTTTTTTTCATCTTTCTTTAATATAAAAACGTATACTTTTTCTTTCTCAGTAACTTGGCTCAAAGACGGCAAAGCGATTCCCGAAACAAGCAGCAGATATCACTTCAGCTCGGACGGCAACACGTCCTTCGAGTTCGGCATCAAGACGTGCACGGTCAGCGACGTCGGTCAATATTCGGCGCGTGTGATCAGCCAGAAGGGCGAGGCGAACTCGGCGTTTGCCCTGAACGTTGTCAATCCCGGAGAGTTGTGAAACTGATCTTATCACCGGATCACATGTCGATATGTTATCACACAGACCGAATCGGAGTATTTTATATTCTAATACACCCCTCCCCTTCCGTGTCGCGCGGAGAACACGCTTTTGAGTCGATTTACGAGTATGAGAACGCGCGCGTTTTTAGAGAATTTCTTACGCGTTCTCCGCGAGAAAAAAATCTCTTCCGTAAACGCATTCGATCTGAGCCATCTCCGATCGGTCGTTTCTACGCTTTCCACCGGTCTTTCAATTTTTTTCCGATATCTTCAACGAGCAACCACGAACGAGAAGAATCGAGGAGACAAGCCGGAGGGCGGCTTGCTCGTCAACGATCGTTTTTAGAGTGTATGACGTGTCTCTGTATAAAAAAAAAAAAAAGGAAAAACAACGAAAAAAAGAAGGATCGGATTTAATTAATTAATGTTATTTTTTTTTTCTGTGCACGTAAATTATTCTGGAACGCTGTATTTTCTCTTCCTGTGTGTTTGTCACGATGAATCGCATGAATCGTCGCGGGACGCGGCTTCTTACTTTTCTTCTACGATATAGGAATCCGAATTCGTGTCTTCGCTCACGCATTACGAATAGCACACGCGCAACGTTATTACGCTAAAAATATTCGGCTTTGCTGTATCACACGACTTGGCATACTTTCTGCGCACTCAAGTATGCACAGATTATGTTTAACGGACACATCGCGGTAGAAAAAAGCGCCCAAGGAAAACAGAACAAGAAAAGAAAGACCTTTGCACGCGAAGTGCGACCAACGATCGAATACGGTTTTTCCGACGAGATTGCCAGCATCCTCGACAACATCCCGAAACACTCGAAACTCTCGCTCGGGAAAAACTTTTTTGTGACATTGGAAACACAAATTTCGATTTGCGCGATATGCTATCGCGATGTGCCCCCGAATTCCACGTTAATGATACGTCGTGTTATACTCTTGTTTGAAGACTGCTTTCGTCAGTAAAACATTTACGATAAAATAAAACATGTGATTTAAAACGAGAGTATCTGTTATTACATCCTTTTCTGTGTCGTGCCGTACTAATATGTAGATTGTAAGTGTTGATTCGTATTAATTTCACGTATATAAATTGTTCGCACGAACATACATCTGGAGATACATCTAAATATTTGCAGTGTGTTGATGCGGGAAATTTACTAAAAATTTTATTGTAATACAAATAGTTGTATAATATAAAAGATACAACGCTTTGTATAATTTACATACACTAGAGATACTAATTTACATATATTTGCATGGCAATAAAAAAACACACAAATCTTGAAGTACAGACAGGGACGTTAATTCTTTTACAACATAAAGTTGCACCAATAATGCCTCAATAATATCTCAACAGAGAGAAGCGCAACTTGACGTACAAGACATTAACGCCCATGTAAACGATGCTTGGAGAAACACGTTATCAATATTAGAAATGCCATTTTATTTTTATCGCTTTAGATGTAAAATAGAACAATTGTTTAGCAGTGACAACGGGTTTCCCAAACGCATTTTCTTGGCATATCTTTTTTCCTCATCCTTCTCTCTCTTTCTCTCTTCCTCTATTGTTACATACAGTTATTTACATTGTTTTACTAATATATTAGATCTTATTAATTAAAAATAGTCCAAACTTGTCGACTAAGTGTGTAAATCGGCAGGATCGATGATGTTAAAAAATCTCGTGGGCGAATGAGAATAAAGAAGAGAACGAAACTTATTCGGATCTTGTATGAGCGTGCTATGTACGTGCAAGTTGTCGGGCTGAGAGTCAAATTTCAAACACATCACCAGAATATCTTTTGGCGAGTCTTTACTTTGCGGATTGTCAAACGTTAATGCTGTGAAAAGTAACTTCATGAAAGGTTCAAAACCTTCCACGTACCACATACAATCGGCACACTTAATTTTTGTACACCTCTCACCATTGCATTGCTCTATATCATACGTTTCTGTAATACTTCTCAAGACCATGTCGCCTGATCGATTTATGTCTATAAAGCGTAATGATTTTCTATGAGTTCTTTCGCGTTTTTAATCATATAATAGTAAAATAATTAGATAATATAAAATTTAAATGTATCATATACATATATAGTATATGTATATAAAATATATCGTATAACATATATACAATAATTTATAATATTATAAAATATATCATTCACGATAATATTACATATATTATAATATTCACCAATATAACACGATGCTGTTTTAAGCACCAATATTGGCGTAGTCCACCTTGCAGAGTTCAGAAGTTTTCCTATCATTGGGACGTGGGCCTGTATCGTTTGCCACGAGTCCGTATCAGGATGATATAAACAAATTTGTGATACGTTAGTGTATATGGCTAGTTTACCATTAAAAACATAATATTCAGGAACATTGGTAAAGTCCATAGGTATCTCCTCACCTTTAGTCCAGATATCTGCAAATAGTTCAGAGAGAAATATAGAAATAATACGTAAATCAATAAAACAAAAAAACGTTCGCCATGAAAACATAAAACAATTCTAATTTAAATTAACATACAGAGAAATTGTGTATTATATAGTATAAATATTACCTGTATGTATATTATAGATATCAACACTCTTCAATTTTCGTCGATATCGTCCCACACCGCCAACGAGGAACAATTTATTTTTTATGAAAGTGGCGACCATGTGCCTTCTCCCATTTGGCAAACTGAAATAATTAAGAAATTTTCATAGATAACAGTGTTCTATAATTTTTTTATGTAATATCTACTTGTCAAACATTTTTTTTATTAAACTTAATAAATGAATAAATAAGTCTTAAAGAGCCGTTCGCAGGATGTTGTGCGGAAAATATGTCTTATATGTGTGTACACATATATAAGTAAATTCACGTTTTTCACGTGTTTTTCGAATTGAAATTTCAATTCTTAAATTCATATAGAATGTTAGTTTTGCATCTCATATATGATAGACCCCGAATACCCCCCCTAATTGATTTAAAATATTGCGAAAAAAACTCCTCAGCCAGGAGTCGAACCCGGAATTTCCGGCTTTCCGGGCCGTCGCCTTCCCTGCTATTTTTTTTATTGAAAGTAAAAAACCGGTTTTTAAGAACTGAGTTAAACGATTTTCTACTTGTCAAAATACATACTTTGTCTGAAAGAGCCATCTCTTGGATATCAGAGAATAACGCCACATCTTAATATTAAACTTTCCTGATCCAATGCCAAATTCTCCGCCACTAAGATACAAATGGTATCCTAAGAGATTATGTAATATGATAAATAAATATAATGCCATCAACAACACAGCAGAGTACATACCTCTCGCAGCAATCTGCATTCCTGTTAGTCTATTATCTTTATTATCACTACGATTGGTAATTTCTCTAGGATACTTAAATGTGGTAAGTTCGTAGAAATTGTTACCATCCCAGCAGTGAAGATAAATTGTACTATTAATAACGTCAAGGTTCTCGCAGGATATAATACTGTTCAAAATTCTTGGTTGCTTATTGTTTAAAAGGTCTTTTTGAACTGTATCCTATTCAAAATAAACCTTTAAAGATCTATATATGATACATGTAAAAATACTATACTATTTTTTTATCAAAAAAGTTAATGTTATTGACTTTCAGAGAGAAACACTAAGAAGACAAAACCTTTTAACTTTATAATTTTCTATTTATATCTCTCTCCCCTCCAAAAAAAAATAAAGATTATATTATTTGAGCATAAAAAGCAATACTTACTTCATGATATCTCATCCATTGATGTGTAACATCAAACAAATAAGACTCTGTAGTTCTTACATTGACATTTCCGACTAACTTTAGAAAATTTTTTTTTGACAATTGACAGATGGAACTAATTGGCAATTCAGTGAAACGATCCAAGCAAACAGCTAAACAAACATCTCTCAATACATTGATACACAATTCTTGTGCTACCAACCATACATCAATCACATGTTTGGGTAGCAAGTAATCTGTTTCCAATACATCTGTTACATCTTGTATCAAATCATCCACTGCAAATAGAACACTTAATTCCAATAAGGTTAAAAGATGTTCAAGTGTATCATCAGTCTTATCAGTCTCAAAAATAGGCACTCTATTGTCGGAAATCCAATAGATAAATTCCTGTAAAAATCAAAATTATTGCCTTTTTACTTATACAATTTGAAATGATTTAAAATTATTTTTCAATGTAATAACAGTTTTTTTTTTTTTTTTTTTTTTTTTTTTTTTTTTTTTTTTTTTTTTTTTTTTTTTTTTTGGATTAAAAATGATTGTTTCTGGAAACAAATGTGTTTTAGAATTAAGAAATTGATTCACAGTATCTAGAAATCACAGAAATTAAATATCGCAAACAAAGAACGGTTTTGTTTTTAAAAATAAATAAGTAGGGTCAACCAACCTCGAATGAAAACAATGGAATCTCATAGTTGATAACATGTTCTTGCCGACCAAATTCTATATAACTTGCTGATAAAAGCGCGGCAAAATATCGACTCTTGTCAATCAGTTTTTGCTTGTCAATTTTAAATTCCTTTGTTTTCAAAATTAATGTCACAATTTCTCGTTGTTCCTCAACTTTATCGTTTTGATTTTCCATATTAATAACACACACTTGTCTATTTATTGTCGCTATTTAATACATACTTCCAAAAAGTATATAACCGGTTAGATAAATAAAACGTCTGTTTTTCTACAGCTTTGTTAGCTGTGTGTATACATACATTCTTTCTGTCCCACCACTGTTATCACCTTATCTCCTTTTCTTTCTTAAGGCCGGTATTCATAGTCGGTTTTCTTGTATTATTTAAGATTATCTTAAGTTCATTTCAAGAGAGATCGCATGTCTCATTGGCTATTTATCTAAAAATGACCTTAAGATGATCGATCTTTATGTATACAGGTCTTAAACAGAAGATCCGACTATGGCTGTGTTCGTTTTTTACTGGCAGTACTGAAAATCTATAGATTCGTGTCACGTATACTATAGATTTTTCAGTACTGCCAGTAATAACCGAACAGGGCCTATGAATACCAGCAGAGAGAAGACTGGGCTGCTTTTACATGGAGCGCAACTTGCGTTAGCCAATCGAATCGTCTCTGCTATCATATGGAAATACGTTGAGACGATTTGATTGGCTAACGCAAGTTACACTGTGTTCACATGTAGCGCATGATAAACACGTGGTTCATACATGTCGCGAAAGTTCACAATTTTGTATTCATCTATTTTAAGCAAAAGTGTGGAAGAATCCTTTACAAAATGACGGATGACAAAATTAAGAAGCGTAAAGTTTCCAAGAAAACAAAAAAATCATGGAGAAAGCACATCGATGTGAAAGATGTTGATGCGTTTCTTGAAAACGAGAGGTTAGAAGAACGACTGGGTGTTCCTTATTCAGAGCGAAAGGATTCGGAGCTATTTACAGTTGACAAAACTAATGTGACTAAAAATGTACCACCCAAATATGTTATTAGACTTAATTTGAAAAATAAGGAACCAAGATGCTTCGCTTCTTTGAAACCACATACACAAGTTCCCGATCCAATCACCAAGAGGAATCGAGTGAGGACCAGAGAGGAACGTATGAGTTCCGTACGTAAAGCGGAAAGAAAAATGAAGAGTATTCTTAAATTAAAAGAAAAAGAGGCATTAAAGAATAAAGCACTTGCTAAGGCTGCTCTGACAAATTGTTCTAAAAGAGGAGAAGTCAAAAATGATGTGTGGAATATTACAAACAATCTACTGCCAGAAACAGTCAAAGAATGGATGTCTTCGGATGGCATTAGACACACAATTAAACATTTAGGAGTTCAGAAAAGAAAAGTACCTTTATCATTGCATAAAAAACCATCTGTTGTACCAGCAGTAGAAGCTCCACATCCAGGTATGTCATACAATCCCTCATATGGGGATCATCATAAACTTTTGTCTGAAGTTGCTGAGAAAGAATTGGAACTCATTAAGCAAGAGAAACATTTGAACAGAGTCACAACTCAGATGTTTCAAAAAGTAAGTTTGCTAAATTACAACTTAGTATATAGGTGTTTTGTGTATATTAAATAGAATTTAACATATATATTTTAGCACAAATTTTTATATTTTTTTAATTGGCATTATGTTTAGATTCCATTAGATAAAAGAGAAGAGATTAGACTAAATGAAATGTCAGAGGGTTTGCCAATAAAGGATCAAACTGTGAGTTCAAAGTCTGCTAAACAGAACTGTGATGAAAAACAAGAAGATGAAGAAGAAGACTCATGTATTGCAGCAACCAACAAACCTGTCAAGAACAATAAGAAAACACGTGTACAGAAAAGAAAACAACGAGAACAAAAGCAAGAAGCTAACGAACGTACATTAGTCAAAATTGAGAAGAAGAAACTTTCCGATGTCTATAAATTGAAACGTTTGCAAAAACAGATAGAGGCTGAAGAAAGAAAACAAGAACTCTTAAAACAAAAGCGAATACAGAAACGTGAAGAGGAATCTGTTATGCCGAAGACTTTGAGTAAGATAAAGTTTGAGTCCTTAGATCCTGATTTCCAATTTCCAGAAGATTTGAGTGGCAATTTGAGGAATTGTAAACCTTCTAATTCGTTATTGAAAGATCGATATAAATCGCTTCAACAAAGGAACATCGTCGCGCCATCTGTTATAAAACTGTAAGTATATATTATCGATAAATTTGTTTACAATATTACAGTAGTATAAATTCTGAAACTTTAGACAATATTATAATGAAAACAGACAATAGTTAAATAAAGAATTTAAATTTATTAGTCGATCTGCTATATATTTGTTTTACAAAATGATGAAAAGATGGAATTACTGATGAAAGATCTTTTTGCACTTTAATTTTCTTTTTTTAGGACTCGAGACAAAGCAAAGGTGAAAAGATTCGTCAAACCAGGTTTCAAATATAAAACAAGCTTGGACGAGAAATAATTTTACAACAAAGAAATTAATATCACATTTTTTGTATCTGTTACAATGTAATGAGATATTACATTGTACAATTGTATACAACGTAACGATATTGTTATATAAATCGATTACCTGTGTAACAGTTATTTAAAGTATATGCGAACTGTACTGGAAAATGTAAAATAAAACGATTTCTCCATAAATGTTCTCCGAGAGATAATGACGGTTGTTCACTACTTTTTAAGTAAGCATGCTTTTAAGATTCATTAACTTGTATTTAAGATCATAGAACATGCGCAAATGTATTTGGATTTGATCGGATATCCATTGCTTCTGATAATCGGCAATAATGAGTTTCTCTTTCTCGCGATAAAGCGCAACTTCCGTATGCTTCATGCGTGCCTCGCACTTTTTCGCTTCAAGATTAGCATTGTCTCTGTTTATCATGTACTCTTCTTCCGTGAGATATGTCGGTTTGATCAGTTTAAGTTTATCAATATACGGTTTCTTTGGGATTTTCCGCAACATTGCAATCGTAGACTTTGTCAGTTTGTCCGCCACTGTGAATCGTTTCGCGTTACAACGCGTATTGTCGATTTTTATTTTATGGTTCTTGATCATATTTCTGTGGAATACAAACGCGGAAGTGTAATTTAAGTGTAAGATTTTTAATCGGTCAGCTAGTTTGAAAGATCAAACATTGAATGAAAACTTTGTAAAGTCGTGAGAGTGTAACTGCTTACACGCATAGCGCGTTGGCTTGTTCTTTGGAAGTCTTGCTTTTATCGATCATTGATAATAAATTGTTTATAGCTATGTTCTCTGAAAGCAATCTGGATATAGTATACGGCATGTGATGAGCTGTTTCAAGCTGAAACACACCAGCCATATCCACTAAGCGATTGTATAATTCTTGTTTGAATCTATTTGTGTTTTTTTGCATTTAAATATAAAAGTGAATATCAATGTTTTTTTTTGTAATATGAAAGAAAAACCAGGGATTCACATATTTATACTTTTTTCTATCAATCGTGAATTTCCATTCAATTTGGTGTAAGATTGTTGCCATCTGTTCTTTTTCGTGAACCAATGATTGATTTTGCGTATCCAATTTCTTTTCCAGAATATACTGCTTCGATTTGTAATCTTCCAAAACATTAATTTTGGCATCTTAATAAATATATGAATTTTAACATTACGAGAACACAATTGTCGCGCGCATAAAAAAAATATGAAAGACACGTTTACGTAAAAACGATTTTACTCAAGAATTTGAGTTGCGAAATCAGCACAAGCCGCGTGTTTTTGTATTTTTCATCGATGTTTCCGAGTTTGACAGTATGAGCAAAATTATTGTCAATCATTGATTTTTCAAGAGCACCCATTTGCTCTTTGCATTCCTCTATTCTGGCCAAGTAAGAAGATAATTGCGAATTTAAAGTGGATATTTCTTGTGCTTTCTCTTCTTCTAAAGTTTTAATATATCGATTTGTATGTTTTAAAGTATCTTCCAATTCTGTATTTCGTTCTTCCAATCTAATTTGTTATTAATTGTTACATAAATTTATATATATTAAAGCAGAAAGCCCAAATCCATTGTTTTTTAATAGATACCTTTGAATTCTTTTAATTGTTTCTGCAATTTTCAAGTCATAAAAACGTGTTTGCGTATTGATGATGACGTTTTCTAATTTGGTTTCGTCAAAATCGGGAGGTTGTAGACGCTTGGGCAAACTGACGTTGCCTTTATCTTTTCCGTACAAGTCCATTTTGCTGTCAAGTAATAATAAATCATTTGATTTAACAATAATATGATTTGCGCGTTTTTGTTGTCGAAAACTTATAATTACTTTATTGTACGCCGTACACGCGCGCGCACGAGTATATTGATAACTAATATAGTTAATACACATGAATATACGCGTTTTTCAAACTTCTCGACAATTTCAACAAATTCTCGCCAAAATTTTCTAATGTAATTGTGTAAATTTATATGTGTATATAAGCTTACTATCTTCTTACATATTTCATACACGATCAAATGTTTACAATATAATTTTCAAGCTTTTTAAAATTAGAACCTCGCGGAACACGTACCAAGTGTCCGAATATTTTTGCGATATGAAAATTAGTTATTCTTTTCTGTTGTTGTACCTTATTATATATATATATATATATATTTAAACAATCACGTAAGAAACATAAATTTTACATTTTTATTCATTACAAATTATGACACATAACTATGTCACAACGGATTTTTTTAACGACTTTTTTCTCACACATGTACCACAAATTTATTTCAAATATAGAAGATGAAAATCTGTAACTTTCTTGACATCCAAGGTTTTGCGATAGACTGTGTAGTATATTGTAAGTAATTTGCAATAAATTTTTTTTAAACATATATATTTACTATACAATGTTTATATGATATTTATATTATGAAATATCACCTAAACAAATAACAAATCTAAACACAAGAGAATTATAACTTAATTATGTAATAAAAATATATATAAAAATATATGCAAACTTACTATATACATTTATTATATACATTTATTATATAATCTACAAAAGTTTGTTTTATTCTAATTTACTTTTATCTCTCTCTCACTTTGTCTCTCTTAAATCTAAAGATTATTTTAATATCTAAATTGATATTAAAATAAATCACATTAATATATAAATAAACAACATTGAGAAATAAAAGTCTATTATACGTATTTACATCATCTTCTGCAATAAAGAAAGCAAAACTTGGCATCGATCTTTCACCTACAACAAATATTAGTCATTATTATTAATAATATAACAAAGTCAAAATTAATAAAAACGCAGCTCGTAATATCTAAATAAATATGTCACAATATTAAAATCAATATACAACAGGCTAAATTTACGAGCAAAATCTGATGATATTCTTTATTAACAATATAACAAAATATCAGAAAATCTTTTCATAACATAAAATTAACAATAAACGTTTCGACTCTACTTGAGTCTTCTTTAGTATTAAACATTAAAAAATGATCTTAACTGTTACTAATTGGAGGCGCAGTTATTTTACATAGAGTCACTCTTGTCACCGTTCTAATTGATGACATATTTCACACGTGAAACGCCAAAAACTGTAAATAATTCCGAAAATGTAATCACTTTATAATACTTTATAATACCACGCACGACAGAGGCAAACATACTTACAAATTGAAATCACAAATCA